ATTAAACTAGACAAGTTTCTGTAGACATACCGACATAAACTTCAAAAATTTCGTAATATTAATAAATTCTTAATTTATATTTATTGGTATACTTTTTTTAAGTGGTATAAAATTGTAACAGGCACAGATTTTTCACATTGTCATTACATAGGATAAAACAAAGTCGTCGTCGCTGTCTGTCCGTCCCTATACTTAAATCTTTAAAACTACGCAACGGATTTTAATGCGGTTTTATTAACAGATAGAGTGATTCAAAAGGAAGGTTTATATATATATATATAATACATGTACACTCGGGTGAAGCCAGGACGAGTAGCTATTGATAAATATATAGCAAAACTATTGATAATAAGGAAATTGTCAGGCGCTATATAGTAAACGTAACATGACGTGCCCATATTTTGCCGAGATAACTTTAACTTGGGATTAGAAATTTAACATGTCATTCAAAGTTTATTGTTCTCCAGATATCAACTTGCGACTTTATGGACTGCGATATTATTCCACTAAACTGTAACAGTTTTAACACAGATAACATAATATTACATAGTTTTACTAAATAAAATCCTACAAAAAAAACATTTACCTACGTTAATTACCCATATACATATACATATATTTAACATTTATAATTTAAAAAGACTAACTAAATGTCCCTTCTAACGCTTTGACAAAAACAAGCCAACTTTATTACACATGTCTGTGTCAATTAGTTTGCCGGAAACTGTCGGTATTAATTAATGTCTATAAAATTCACGTGATCAGTGTCGTCAGATCTTGTAACAATTTAGGCCGCTGACATACAGTCGGTTTGTCGTCAGGTTACCCGAATTCGATTAATTAGCTGCTACGCTTCTTTGCGATACACACATGCAATCGGAGTCCATCGGAACATTAGTTGCATTCGATCAAGCTGACGACCGCCCGACTGTATTATATCCGCCTTAATTACATGGAAAACAAACACTTTTTCTTAAAAATAAATTAAAAAAATATTCGCAAGTTCAAGAAAAATACATTTATAATTATCAAGACTACAGTGATGGGGTATCCCTGTAGTCTTTGTCGCTTCGACTTTTGTTGTGATTTCTCTAATTGCACACGTAATTTATTATAAGCAGCTTATAAATATAAAAGAAACGTTTTCTTCATACCATATTATACGTTATCCTCGCATGAATGAACCCACACAAACAGATAGACAATGGGCTGGAAACGTTCGAATGGGTCAAGGTCGACTATGACGATGCGTATCTATTTACTTTGCTAATTCAATACAATTTATAAATACGATAAATGTCAAAATAATTACCTTATATCTACTTTGATATCATTAGATCAATTTGTAATGGTTTGTCTAATATTCAAATATAATAATGCCGAATTATGTCTAATGATGTATGATATTGCCATCATAGTTATTTTTACCATTAATTTCAATCAATAAGTATCTAAATATATGTTTTATAGATGGTAATGGAATGATGCCCGCCTGCGCTGACGGTTTACAATGACGGCCACCAGTGACGGATAACGAAATGCGCATGAAGTCAGGTCAGGTCTTCTTGGCAAATGACAATTTACCACGATGGTTTGTATGGAGAACTGCGTGGAGATAAACCGTACAAGGAACATTGCTTGCAATGGGGTTATTAGTCTAAATTACTGACTTTTTGGGTCTATGTCTAGACAGTAAACCAGTAAGCCACATCAGACTCAAATGTGAAAATGAAAATACATTATTTTAAACAATTGTTTCTGTATATCTATAAAGGACCTGGCGCTAGATACCTAGCGCAATAGAATACATATGTCTTTCTTCAATGGTTAATTAATTAAACTAATGAGAGTGTTGTTTTTTTAACTCGGCAACCGCTGTATGCACCGCCCACTACGCGAGCTTGACAAGGAGAGGTGCCTAACAACCTACTAATATGCTAATAAGGCACCCACCAGAGGTCGTGGTAAAGTGTATCTGCGTTCAATTTGTTGTTTTACTACTGTCTAATCCTTAAAACGAATGCATTTATTTGTTCGTGTACATATCAGGGAGGGGAGGGGGAGGATTAAACTTGTTCTGTCATATCTTTAAATTATTACTTTCAGTAATAGAAGAGATTTCTGAATATATATTAATTATTAAAAAAATCTGAACGAACGATGCACATATCTCCGTCTAGAAAAAAATAATATCGCTACTGTATTTAGCAAAACAATATTTAGCAAAACAAAACAAATATGAAAATGAGAAATTAGTAAAAATATACTATTGATAAAAATGACTATTATCATTATAGGCATAGTTCTATCACAATAGGACAATGCACATATTCTACGAGAAATCCAATCCAAATACTTGGAAGAACAAGAACAACTGTATAGTATTATTTCATCGTAATCTAAAAATTAATAAAAATGCGAGATATCGAATAGTAAGCATATAAAATTACAATTGTGTTCCCATTAAACAAAATATTTGATTAAAACCCGTTTCCTAATTTAGTGAGAACACAAATCATGTATTAGTGAAAGTTGCCTATACAATACTTTTTGCAGAATATGTTAGCGTGTGTTGAATCCGGGTATAACAAGCACTTATTATAAAAGATTTTTATGAAGGTTGAAGGCTAACCAAAGGTCAATTTCGCTTATCCGTTTTCGCCTTCACATAGTTAAAGTCATTGTTTGATAAACACTATAATATTAATCATGTGACGACCTCGGCGGTGCAGTAATTTAATATATTGCTATCTTTAGGTGGTCGCGTGTTCTATACCTGCTCACTACAAATCTTTTATATTCGTAAGTATATAATAATAATGCCCTTTGGATTTACACAATGCCATCTAGTCTCAAGCTAAGCAGAGCTTATGTTATAGGTACTAGACAAGTGGTACAAATACTTACTTTAAAATGTACATTTTTTTGTGCGCTAGTACTCGGTAGCTTTAGAAGCTAAAAGTAGGAGATTTTCCTTCTTGGAAGACAACAAAATGAGACGTTTGTGTGTACTTGCGTGGGTAGGTAGAAAAAATCAAATTTAATATGCACCGAAAAAATTATATATAAAAATAATTACAAAACAATTGGCGTAACTGGTAGCTCTTTGGAGCTATACAATATATCCAGCGTTATTCATTAAATTAAAAGAAAGAATATTGTAAAATGCGTAAAAAGAAATTCTTCACAGGAAGAAGATGATATACATAAAAGGAAAGTAAGCCAAAATATACGATTTTATATTTGAAATGGCACAAAATGGATTTCTGTAATCAATATTGGTGCTAAATCTACATTAAAACCACTTTCATTGTATTTCTCAGCGATATAATAACATCAACTTTGTAACATAATGCAACGTACATAAGCGAGTATTACATAATTAAACTTACTTAGTAAGTGAGACTAAAATTGTCATAGATATTATTTATAACAGATATCAACAAATATGATATTAAAAGTAAAAAACAAATAGAATTTGCATGAAAAACTTCACCTTCACGCTCAAACTTAATATTAGTTATAGAATATTAAATAAACTAATATGGGAATATTAATGTAACAATAACATATTAATTAATAACAATTAATCATATGCTTAAGAAGTACATATATACTATACAACATAATGCTAAAAACTACAGTGCTTATTGTTGATCGTAGTGCATAGTCTGTACATATAATTACGATAGTACTAAAGTATCTTTCATTACACTTTAAATAACATATGTAGCAATCTTCACGCCAGAAATCTTGTGGGATAGCCAAAGAGATTCATGTGCTAAAACGCTCTATCTTTTTATAAATTTTTTGCTTCATCCGTATCACATCTCGTCTCATGTATGCACACTTTCATTTGTAGCAATATAATTTTTATCTGATCGTAGAATATACACATATACATAATATCTCAGGACTATTCACACAACGCCATCTAGTCCCAAGCTAAGCAGAGTTTGTAGTAGATAACTGATATAAATGCTATATAGATGTAGATATATACATAGATATACACAATATATGTAGATACATTTTTTTTGTAAATACATACATATTTTACGTTACGTATGTAAACCATCATACTCATAAATACAAATGTTTGTAACAATGAATCGAACCAGCGACTTTAATAAATATGTACTGCATACGTACGCACGTTTGCGAAGTACCTGCTGTGCAAGCAAGAGACGAATGCGAAAGTGAACGAAGCAAGAAATGTATGTAAAAATAGGGACCATTAGGGCCTGATTCTCCAATCGTACCAAGCAATGACCTACTGTAAATATCTAGATGGATAAATATTTATTTCAATGCTATTAAATCAACATAATCTGCTTACATTCATCCCTGTTCGTAGTTATTTACTCCCTTTCTTGCTATATCATTCAATGCTATTTAAATACACTACTAAATTTCGAAGAAATTAGTGATGAATCCAATTAGTATTTTACAAATGTTAGCTATTGTGCAAGTCTTCTTAGAATTTATCTATGCAGAACATAAGACTTTTTGTGGATATTTTAAAGAAGCAGACTGTGTTTTACTTCTAGATTATTAGTTGTATTAAGTAACTGAAACATAAGACTTTTTGTGGATATTTTAAAGAAGCAGACTGTGTTTTACTTCTAGATTATTAGTTGTATTAAGTAACTGAAACATAAGACTTTTTGTGGATATTTTAAAGAAGCAGACTGTGTTTTACTTCTAAATTATTAGTTGTATTAAGTAACTGAAATGGCTAACGTTCTTCGGCTCCCCTGATTGCAAATGGCAACCGTCGCCTATATACAGGAAAAGTACCAAAGATGTGACGTCACTGACGTATCCAGAGGACTTAGATGTTATGCCTCCTATGCACCACAGTTTCGCTGCATATAATCAAATCTGCGTAGATCACTGCCCTCGAGTCATATAAATATTGGAGTATCAGTTAGTCAGTTACTTTTATCTTTTATAAATATAGATCTGTAAAACACTAGTGCTCAGAAAAGAACTTAATAATAAACCCTATACTTGAAGTAACAACGCAACACCTGCTAACGTCCACTTGGCAGGCTTATCCTTGGTCTTGAGGTTGAATGTCCACACGTAAGTGGGACCTCTGGTCCTCGTCTTGTAGACTGGACATTCGTACATATTTCGAAGGTCTTGTTTGTCTTGAGTTATTGCCTATAAATTAATAATGATTTTCAGAAAAAATCATATATTAAAATCGAAATATGATAAAATTGAAAAAAGCACTAGAACTGATGCGATATTAGAATTGATGTAGACATGAATAAGAAAAACTAAATTTGGAAATTTAAAAGTACTTTGTGAAAGAAAGTACAAATATTGCTGACGTGACATTTGGTATGCCAGATTTTTACAACAAATTAATAAACACGATATGTTTTAAATTAACATACCCTGACATTAATTACAGGCATTGGCGGGAACAAGTCCTTAAGCCTGGAATCCATGATGATGCCGGCCTGGACATCCCACCTGGCGCCTTCCATCAGCAGCCCATGCACGTAAGCACCGTCGCGCGGAGCAGCCCTGGCATCAACAATCCTGCCACGCCAGTCACAAAAGTGTTACTCCACAATAATTAATTAATAATTAATATCAGAAGTAAACACTCAATAAAGCACACTCATTGTCTACAGATAGCACCACTGAGATATGAAGAATTGTTCGACATAATGTCCACGGCTAACTTTTACCATTGCCAGGGAATTCATCCCCACACGCTGGAACCTGGAAGTGGCTCAGACAGTGTGGAAGGGTCGGTAACGCGCACGTAACACTACTGATGTTTCGGGCGTTACGATAACCGGTTACCATCAGCTGGGCCGTATGCTTATTTGCCGCTATCGTAGCCAGATGACTATATGATACAGACATAGAAGTCAACATGTTTTGAAAATACTGACCCCAATGTAACAATATAGTCAATAAGATACAACACGTCGATAAGAAAATGTATAAATAAAACGTTATTGTGTTGTGTTATTGATCCTAAACATGATTTGTTTTCACTGCCTGAGGCTCGGTCAGCATAAACATTCTCTTTTTCGCACTATTCTAGTGGATCAATGACTTTGATAGACACGAGAAAATCTAACGGCTCATTTTAATGATCTATCAATGGACTAATGATTTAATCATGTTCATGTTTAAAGATTTTTTGTCGGATGTTGACAACGCTCCTTTGTATTCTGCCTTGTGTAAAATGAAGGCAGAAAAAAGAAGCACGCTAGGTTTCATTCAGTTCAGTAGACATGTTTAGAATAGACATCTACGTGGTTTAGATATCGCCACAACTCAGCGTGACTGTCCATAGATACTCTATATATAACACAGTCATATATAATTTAAATAACATATATCCATATATTACTTTTGAACGTTTATAATACTAAACATAATACTAATTCACATAACAATATTTATAATCTTGATGCATAGACACGACTATAAATTGGTTGCAAATGTTATTTTTTATGATGTCAAGTGTATAGTCATGCATTTATCATGCATTTGGGATATATATATTAATCCACATGCATACTATTACAAAGATCACAATTAAAATCGTGCATTTTTATGTCATTCCAAAATATAATAAACACACATAACTTGCATTAGTATTATAAGAATTGATAATTAATCAGTTTTATTTGTATATGTATAAATATACAGTTAAATAAAAAAAAATCAATATTATTCTTAGAAGAAATCTTTTTTGAATTTGGAATGTGTAATGACTCAATAGGCATGCCAATATTCTCACCTTTTTTTTCTCAGATCGAATGACAGGGACAGGCGTTGACCCCATTTAAAAAATAACATTATAAAAGTATTCATATAGTTATTATTATCACTAACGAAGGAGAGATTGTAAATGTTCTGTAGTACAGAGGAAGTCGTTGCTACAGAAATTAAACTTAAAAGATATTAGCCGGTACTTGACTAAATAAAAAAAATATATATTACGGTAGTCAACAATGAAAATATTTTGAAACTAGAATTATGTATCTAATACCTTTTATTATTATTGACTCTCAAATATATTACGAATGTACCTATCACTAATTAGACGTTTGTGTGTCATCATAAAACATAAGAATACCTAGGTTCTTACCAAAATCAACATATTTCTACTTAGGTATAACTACAGTCATAAAACAGTCTAGTATGATATATCTGGAAATTTCTATGCTACAAACTTTACGTATTAAATATGTACCTATATTTTAATGATTTTGTTTTTCAAGTATATTAGTAATTAGGCGACCTGAATATGTGACTGGACGCCTTAAATATTGGAATAATTTAGTATTATGTTGGCCAGTGAGATTTATATAAACGTCCGTAATTCTGTATTTTGGAATCTGATTATTTTCATACACACAAACAAGTTACGTACACATCTGCTCGCCGTTTTCATGATAACTTCTTTTTAGGATCAGGGGTGCCAACCGTATAAGAATCCTCATACTTATATAAGTACCTACGCCAATATTTGGCTTTCAGTTCGAGGACATTTTCATCCTCGTAAAAGATTGTATGAGATTTTTACCTACGGAAATCGATGAAATACGATTATATTGAACATAATCATCATGGTTGTAGAGTCAAATTGAATATACGCGATTTTATCAGATTTTTATTTCTTTTTACTAGACTAAGTATTATAATGCTGGCAACTCTGTTTAGTACTTTAAAATAAATTCCGAATGTATGGGAATAAATATACGTTTAAACTCACGTGAATTCTTCTTTCATTTTCTTAGTGACGTCACACTGCAGGCACATCTTGTCCAGGGGCAGCTCGTAACGGCGGGCTGTACTCTGCATGATAGCTGTGAGGAGACTCTGCGGGTTGAAGAATCCAGCCAGCCATACCGATGACGGCAACTACACAACAAGTATCATGTAGAATTTTATATGGTTTACCATATAATTCTATATATATATCACATATAAGGTCATCAAATTGTCCTTCTCTACTTCCTATATAAATCTATACATTACTTTTATTTGTAATCATCAATCATCATGAATCTCTTTAATTCACCAATATGTAGAACTCTCGACTCAATAAAACACTAACAATTTATTAGAGTTTCTTTTCTTGAGTCGGACCATTCTGATTATATCATACTAGCTCCTCGCCCCGGCTTCGCATGGGTGTACATGTATTATATATATAAACTTTCCTACCGAATCACTATCTATTTAAAAAAACCGCTTCACAATCCGTTAGTTGTCCGTTAGCGTAGTTTTTAAGATATGAGCATATAATGTAACTATGTAATGATATACAGCTTTCAACCTAATATACCGTGTTATTACAGAATTATTTGTACATATAGGATCTACAATACCAAGGATATACGTGTGATACATGTTTGTCATGGACTGGACGATGCGAGGATTCAAACCCTCGGCCATCGGAAGTAAGACGGTGTGCTAAACCGTCAAACCATCGAAACCGTCTAAACTCGCTAGTTATGTACAATTGACTTACAACAAAATCTGTGGCCCAAGTTTCCAGCTCTCGTAATCGTAGAAGTAAATCGACGTACCACGCAGATAAACCTAGCAACGACGGATATGCTCGCTGCGACCATATAGCTGGTACCTGTAAACATTGTATTGGGCATATGCCTGTAATGATAGTGTCAATATAAATATTTAAAAAAGACATACATCAAGTCTCGACTAATGTATTAACACTAGCTGTGCCCGAGGTTCCATCCGCATGGAATTTACAGCTAATGTGTTATTCTGATGTACAAGCTATATTATTGTTAAGTAGCACTAAAATCCATTCAGTAATTTTTGCGTGAAAGAGTAAAAAAGTACATCTAAACATCCACACTGAAAAACTTACGCATTTATAATTTTGGAGAAATATATCTACTGTTTCTAATACAGTTTTACTATTTATTTTATTATATCACTAAAAGTATTGTACAATAAATGAAAAAGAAAACAAATTAAATTTACTAATTACAAGAACATCTATTTATCTTTATTAGATATTTTAGTGGTATTTATCTCTTTACCACCACTAAAATATCTATTATCCATCATTTTATTGATGTTAATTTTTAATTATTTTAATAACCTATTATACATTATATGTATATTTACAGTATTTCTAAAACTAACAATTGTAACTCACTTGATCCAAAAATAATGCATTTTCCAAATCTTCCATATCCGATGTAATTGTAAGTTCACCCTGAAATATACAAGCATTACAATATCAAAATAATGAGATGTTCGATAACATAGACATTTACCTCTCGCAATCTAGCCGAAAGGTCAACAGAGGTAAATACCTATATTTACCATAAACTTATTATATATATTTAGTTTAAAAATAAAAACTCCATTTAATATGTCATATTTTGAATTCTCCTTTCAATACAATTTTTGATACCTTTAATCCCAAATCCAGCTCTCTGAGAGATCGTTTCATTTCTCCTGTCAAATAATTCATTCTTTCACACTCCTGAAACGCAACGATCACATATGGCGTTCTCTCTTCCACTTTTCCCATTATTTCAACCATATTAAACTCTTCAGGTAACTTTTCCATTATTTCGTCCAGCATTTGTTTCACCTTGAAATAGATTTGGTAATAAATATTTATCCCTTTTGCTTTGACTTCCATGATACAGTCATAGTACCTTGGATTAAGATATTGGAACATATTATTTCTGTTGACATTTTATTATAGGGAATCCGAATTATTATAATTAATATTAATCATTAATAATTGTTAAATTTATAAATAAAATTTTAATATTGATCTAAATTTGCAGGCTCAAAAAGTAGCTGAATATCAAACTGCATATACCTGAGAACTATGTAACCTATTCAAAGCAAATAAATTGAAGTTTGTAAATTCAAAATAACAACTTTAAATTAAATGCAAAATGTAATATAATAATATGTATATGTATATATACGGTACTTACATCAAAAAATAATTTTAACTAGTTTTGTCTGTCTGTGAGAACAAATAGACCTGTCTGTTATTGCTAATCTCTGAAACACTGGATCGATTTGGACGGTTTAGAAATTTACTTTACGTTAATAAAAAACAGTTTTAATCCACATATACGAAGTCGCGTGTACCAGGTGGTATAGATAAAAAAATACCTTGTCTTCCCTGGTAACAGTAGCAGCTCCAGACGACTGTGCATCTCTGGGCTGCATCTCGAATATAGTCCTGAAGAGATTTTCTGAAGTGGTTGTAAGGAAACCTATCTCTGCATTTGGGTGCAAGCCGTACAAATATGGCGATTCTGGAGGCATTGCATCTTCTATGTATTGATGGTAGCCACAATAATCAGTATTCGGTGGGGCGGGGAAACCAGGAGCTAATTGAAGTTCTCCATCAACCTTTTAATATTAATGAATAGCCATGAATATATTAAACATATACTGTAGTATAAATATCTATAATACCTACACTAAAAAACATTTTTGTAAGACTCATACTATATTATAAATGCAAAAGTATTTTTGCATTTCGTGACTAAACACCACAACGGATTTCAATGAAATTGAATGAGAAGTCAGATTGAATCTCTCCAAATACTCTTTTTTTATATTTTCTGTAACGAATACTGTTTTAACATAGTCCATTCAAATATCATTTATCAAAGCCTATCTCTGGTAGTTATGGACAATGAAAAAAATATCCTTCAAGGATTTTAAAAATTCTTTCGTCTTTAAGAAGGCTGGGCTACATCATCAACAAAGCCACAGAATATAAGCTAGTAGAAAATATAAATACGTACTAAATCGGGCTGCATTAACTCTTCGAGGTAAGCATTGCAAAGTCTCCGATCCCAATCATCAGTAATGTGCCCTCCATACATAATCTCTCCAAAGAGGTATCTCAAATCCTCCCATGGAACCCTAGCGTTCGCTTCTAAATAGTTGTACAGAACGAAAACGCTTATCGTCAGATCGCCTGTAAAATTAATTATAAATTTGTAAATAATAGCAAATAAAATCTTATTTCATTTCATTGTAACATTCAACAAAACAAAAAAAATAGTTATACACTAAAATCATTGTGCAAACTTGTACCTATAATTGTTTCTAATACATGCTTGTGCAAGCCTAAACTTATTTTAATAATAATAAATTCTAAACGGAGACATGTTTACATTAAAATAAGTTTTGTTTTATTGTATAAATGATTCAGCTAGAGTACTTTTATCACATCTATATCTGCCACCAAGGCGCTTGCTTTGCAAACTGTGTTTCAGTTTGAAGACTAGATACCGGTATGGTACTGATTACACAGTACGTATAGAAGAATGGACCTTTTTATTATCAGTCCATACATAATTCTCGTCCAAGGTACGACACTGGGAATAATCCTCAGTCCTTCTATTCCAGAATCTTACCCACAACGCTATGTATCTTAGTAAACCTAATTTCAGGGCATCATACACGTTTACTGATGCATAACATCTCACTCATAATATAAGAATGAGAAGTCAAGACACGATCAATCAAAAAATTAAAGTAAAGCTGCAAAAAAAATACTGACCAACATTAAAAGGATAAATTTTATTCCACCCCTGCGGCCCAAACTTCCTTCTTTCAGCGACCACTGCGTGAAAGTAACACAAAGCGAATAATATCGCTTTAAATTCAGCTTCCTTGCCGCACATTTCTAATGTTTCCTGATTAAAATTGTCGAGTGCTTTATGAATATTGGCCTACAAATATAACCAATAAAAATTACAATTGCAATAAACGCATGTATAATAAAATATTACAGAGCGTGTTAATAAAACAGTTGACTGCGTTATTCCGGGTACTGTTTAATCGTAGTTTACACATCAAATTACGTAATTTGTTTATTTTTACAGTTTTTAATTAGTCGATAATATTATTATATCAAATTTTAAATTATGAACATTGGTTCTTGAAACAAACTATAAAATATATTTGTCATGTGTACATATTGTAATGTTATCCAAGGGAGATCTAAATTATATTAGGTGAATGAAATAATCACTGAACCAATGAAAGTTTCTAAATAAATCGTACTTTAGTATGCGTATCAAGCACAATATCCTTATCATCAATATTATATCAATACGTACTGTAAATGCCAACGTTATTTTATTTGTTTGTAACCTCTTGGCATCTCAACAGCGCAACTAATCGTCGTAAAATTTGGCATACACATTTCGGTAATTCAGAAGTACATCGATATAAATACAATCCTGATCAATCAATCAATATCACGATCGCAGAAGGAGGGCACAAAGTTAACCAATAACAGATAAATATTTACCTGCATCCCAGTGGGTGGTTCATTTGTAATTTTGATACTTGATTCTAATATGCCTTGTGGTATAATATGTGCAGTGGGTGTAGCCGCGGGTTCAGCTGACATGAACAGTCTGAAATTGTCGTGACAACCAGCTGCAAATGTCTCCATCTTCTTCTCAAGACTTGGTAACCACTTCTTTACTAAGTGTATATTCTGTAGAATATTGTATAATAAAAATATACCTAAACATAATAATCTACATAAATCTATAAAACTGAATCTCTATTAGCTAATTACATATAAAATATACAATTTCGACTTTAAATAAATATAATATAACGTTATGTTATATAATATACCTGCAATACCACCCAATGTCCTTTTACCACGGCGACATCCATCGCCTGCTCGGCCACTATCTCCTGGCCCTGACCAAGTGACACGTTATGGAAATTCCCGTTATCTGCTGTGAACCCCATAATCTTCCCTAGAGCTTCAACATCCTTTAAGGGGTTCACCCCTGGAGACAGTATGAAAAATATCGGAGTCGTAGGACTGGTTTCTTCAAACGACTTACTGAATTCAACTGTTCTGTTTTCAACATATTTTGATCCCATCTTCTCTTCAATATATGCTCTGAAAATTATTTCTTTTGTTTTTCTGACGAATATAAAATTGAATACGTAAACTAATAGAAAGATTCCGAGTGTTAACAGAAATAGTACAATATATTTAGGCGACGGTTACCACTTACCATCAGGTGGACCATCAATTATATTAAAAAATAGCCAATAAATACGGACGAACGGACCACGTACTTAGTGTGTGCTGTTGGTTACGCTGTAAGTTAAATATTTAGGAACAAATTTGGAACATTTGGAATTTAAATGCGAATTGACTTAAATGTATTTTTTTTATAATTTTGTTTCAAATACTTACGCAACTGCGTACGTCATTCTATCAGGTCTGAGTGCTCTAAACATACAAAGTCTTTGTAAAGCCGTTTTATTTTTCCATTCCTAAAATCAGATAATAATTAAATTCCCATATACTTCAACTTAAGGTTTTTTATGCCTCATTTGAAATGCTCCTGAACAATACCTGTGGAAATTTTTCCCTTTCAGGGCATTCCATTTCCACAATCTTCTTCCACCTCTTGGATGAGGTCTCTATATCCCTATCAAGATTCCTGAACTCGTCCTTTCCAGCCAAAGAGCATATACCACCCCAGCTATGGTTCGACAAGAAATCCACAGGACTAGTCACATGGGGTTTCACTGGGAACCGTAGGAAAAAATCTAATTCGGCGGGTGATATTTCTTCACTCATTAGGAGTATCTAAAAATTGCAATATTACTTACAATTAACTTTAACTTAATTACAGATTAGACTATTTGACTAACAGTAATATATTACAGGATAAGAAGCATGACAACTTAGTCCCATGATATGACAACGCATGAGAGTCACGGGTGTTACACGATAACGTGATGTCCATGATGCTGTTCATGTATGTAGGTGACGGTCACTGCTAACAAACAGGCGGACCGCCAGCGACCTCCGCTGGAACAGCTTGCATTATAAAATAAACTAATTAATTATAATACTACCTACCAACTTACTGTAACTATACGAAATAGAATATATAATGTATAAAGTACCTGGAATGTCATTTGTGATGCAAAAATAAGTTTATCACATTCAAACAATCCTCTAGATGTATACTGAAAAACTGAATAACTGATGCAGTCAATCAAATTTTTTATTCTCTGTGTGACCTCATCAGCAGGTTCCGCGCGCGATATTGCTTTTTGGAACACAACGCTAAAGGCCTGGAAATAAGTATAATTATTTGTATTGCTGTATTGTACTGGATGTATTGTATATTATTCATACATTTACAAAAAAAAAATATTTAAGTATTGCTATCAATTGTTCAATACCCATAACTGCTTAGTTTGGAAGTAGATGGCGCTGTAAAAATTATCTAGGGTTATTAAAAATTATTATTATAATTGATGTAACAGTATTGTTTTTAACAATACGCATATATTTACCTTCAAAGAGAACTGATATATCGGATTGATCGTATTCAAGTCATTCAAAATAAAATACAAGAGAGAAGCTCTAGCTGAGGCCGGTCGATAAAATTCCCGAGCTTGGTCTATTTGATGAGATGTAATTTTAGCTTCTGCTACCTGTAAACATATAGTTTTAAATTAATATTTAAAAACTTTATTCATGTAAAGTCTTTATTTTTTCATTACACATTTTTCAGGAGGCAAATCTATCGTTAGGTTTGAAAGCCGAGCTAAATAGAACTGTCAAGAAACTCTCACCCTCACTTCTTTCAAAAGTATATCATTATACACAGTTACCAAAACGTAGGTTAAGAATAAATATAATGGCTAGACTACATTAATTTTCAAGCAGTTTAACTGCAGCAGACCAGTCCCCACAAGACGCACCTGTTCATAAGTATAATGGATTGTTAAAAAAATACGAAATACTAACTTTTTTCTCAATATCAGCAGCAGTTTTCTTTGTTGTTTCCAAGTTTTCTACCAAAGCAGTGTCTCCTAATATGTTCTCTCCAGCAGAAGACAATCGAGATAAAAGATCATCTTCTAACTCTTTCAACTGAATTTTAAACTGATTTTGTTGTTTTGTTAGTTCTGCTTTTAAATCCTCTAAATCAGGTCTTTCGGCTTTCACTACTTCTGCCAATAATTGATCTTCTAATCCATCTCTAGTTACAGTGAAATTAACAAGAGTGGTTTGCGCTTGCATTTCTGGTTTATAATGTGGATTAGCCAATTTGGTATGTAAAATAAGTCTGAAGTTTGGACTGTACTCTATTTCTTTGTCACCTATTTTGATTGCTCTAAAACAAATTTAACTTTAATTAACAGAAAAATCGTGGGAATAAAAATTACAGAAGATAATTTTATATAAAGCTATTATTTATATCATATTAGTATTTTGTTAACGGAATGCAATGATAAGACTGACTACATTAACTCTTATATTAACTTTAAATATAAAGTAACCTATGTTTTTGGACAATTATCAAATTTTAATATTTCTTTTAAATAAGGTCATTATTCTTTTAAATAACATCTTGTTATGTCTATTTATATATATAATACATACTTACTTTCCTTTCTTTATAAGATTTCTTCCAAGTAAAGGATCTAATACTGGATCTACTGTTTCACCTATATTTTCTAACAATACCGTTTCCCCTTTAATAATGGCTTTTTCTATGGTATCTAGGTATCCTTTTTGTCCTAAACGAATAACACGTAATTTGTCTCCGTATTTTTGCTTAATCCATTTTACGCCTTGTAGCTAAAATTGTTTACCAGTATTAGACTAAAACATTATGTAGATGAAATAGAAGACAAAAATGTAAATTTCCTCTTTAATTTTATTTTTTACATATTAACTGCAATATATTGTTGATTCTATTTAGTGTGTTGAACGTGAACGTGTTGTTAAATAGAATGCATCAAATTTTTATAGTAATGTAAGGAATTTATTTTAAAATACCTGTGGATCGATCATAAGTGGCCATCGATCCGAATTAGACAGTATAGTGGCGTTCTCGGTACTCATGCGATCAGAAGGCAATCCTTCGTTCTGCCACATCGCTATCGTCGTGTCGTCTGTAAGCATAGTCAGTGGGTCTAGACCTTCTGTTATTGGTATTGGAGGCTGAAAAATAAATAAACAAATATCAAATTATAGTATATATATGTCTGAATCGAAATAAAAGTCAGAGGTACACTGTGAAAAGTCTGCTACATTTATCTACTTGGGAACTAAAAAAGGTATTTTTAGTTCCCAAGTGCCTTGTTTTTTATCAATGATACAGTTTGAACTGTGTGATAGAACGGTGTAAACGTAGCAGTGAATTTACATAGTAGGTGTGACATTTTAATTTTCTGAATTACCCACGCATGTGGATATGACTACGGGCATCACAAAACTACGTGATGTCTTTGGGCCTGGCATTATGGGATTATTATGGGTTTAGTAACTGTCAGTAACCGACAGTTGCTTCTTACTCATTTATTAATGTAGAATCCATTATGCACATTCTATTTGTTTTTTCACTATTCAGTACCGTTCAGTTCGGTCATCCATCAAAGAAATGGGGCGTCCGCTTGTTTGCCATTCCAGTTACAGATAATACAAATCATATGATAGTCTTAGTTTACACTAACCTCTAAAGTCTTTAAAAAGACGAGCCAATTCTTATGTAACAAATCCAAACGATATTGCTTTGTAAAGCAACCCACGTACGATATGAAGGCACACACAAGAAGGATGTCCCCTGGTAGCGTCGTGCTTTGTTGCATGAAACTAAACAAAACATATAAAACCATAAAGCATAATATCCATATGCGACAGTAGAACAATATTCGTTTAGGAACAAGTACAATTAATTATGTCAAATGATGTTGTGTAATACCATGTATTAACAGATAGATAATAAGTGATGTTCTTACAAATTTTTTTAATATTCCTCTATAACATAATGATTTGAGTAGTAAAATTCAAAGTATACATAAAATAGACATAAATCTAGTAGTACGATAGATTACTTGTGAAACAGTAGGAATTTAATAAAATAATACTATTTTAAGAAACAAAAGTATTAATATTTGCTGTATAATCACATACTTGGATACTGCCTCAGCCCATCGAACATTTTCACTAGCAAGTCCATTAACTAATCTGTTAGCGAGCTGAATAGTTCTATTAGTAGCGTCAGCCTCCTGCTGGCATTTCATTTTCTCGGAAGTTGCCTTCTCAAATTCCGCTGTTAACGAAGCTAGAAGTTCTTCTAAAGACTGTATATTAGAACGTATATTATTTATAAAACCTTTTTATATACTAATTCCAAATGTGCTACTGTTAATAACTGTAAATATTAAAACTTTTAGAAAGAGTTTAGTATAATAGATTTACAAAATCACTTTCTTTTGTTAGTAATATGGTCATACAATAGTTGCTATATTAGAAATATATTATTAACTGTTAGTATCTTTACATCTACCGATTCGATCTTCATAGCATATTTGATAATGTAATGTACTACTATAAAGTTATTAATAAATATTTATAAATTGTATAAATACATACTGCAACTTTAGACTTAATCGATCGTAGTTTCTCTGTAGCGGCTGCCAGTTCTGCGTTAGCTGCGGCGAGAGCCTTTCTTTTAGGCTCCACGTCGCAGAATACTTCGTAGAATTTGATTATATTAATCACCCACGCGCAGAGACCTGCCGCTGCAGCCGATTTAGATCGCACAAACTCTGAGAGTAAAATGACAGATATGAACTTAATTTGAAAATCACCACACCACACTACAGCAACATACTCCTGGACATAGAGATTTTCCAATGAAAGGAGATTTTTAATTTATATAGATAATGATAGAATGATAAGATGAGGATAAAGTGACAGTGACAAAACAGCCCATCGTGGCAAAATCAACTACTGTGGTTTTCACAGTTAACCTTCTAGTAAGGGAAAAGTAAGTAACTTTTCCCCTACTATGTCAATACCTGAAGCATAGTATAGAATTTTATTACGTATAATTAAATTTCAATATTGTATACCTGGTTCAAACTCCGGATCCTTAAGATATGGCTGGATGGCTTTAATTACGTCTGGATGGATGTTTTCTTTATCGTAATTTATCAATGACTCAAGAAAGACGTCAACTTTAGCCATCACTACCTGTAAATCATAACATGCTTTTTTGAAAATAAAAGAAGAATTAAAATTCTAAATGTATCTTGTTGTAAAAATGAATAAATGTCTTACTTATTTTGAATTGTCATTTAAACATTGTATGCTAAAACTTACAGAACTTCTCCGTTAAAGGATGATGAATTGAAGAAGCAATATTACAGCAAAAAGATCAAAAGGAGAATGTTGTAAAAAAAAATTCTGTAATAACTACCTTGGCTGCTTTCCAGCTCCTGTCTTTGGGTATTTTACCACCAGGAGCCATAAGCACCATCACGGCAGCAGTCACATTTGTAACAGCACCAGGAGGAGAACCAAACGACTTTAGTTCTGTAAGGTTCGCTTTGTTCAACGTATTCAAGGCTTCTTGAGCGGCTACCAATGCTGGCTCAGCCTTAATTAGATCTACTTCACACTCCTTTTGTTTCTTCGATACTTCTTCGGTTATTACTGCCACTTTCTCTTCTTCCTCATCCGCTATAGTCACAAATATAATATTATTTTACTAAAAAATTATATCAATAGTATTACTTTTTAATTCAAATATTGTAATATAACTACTGTTTTAAATGTCTAATAATTTATATTTTATATTTATATTTTCATAAATAGGTATATTTCTTTTTCACCCAATTTATGTTACTTCTTATTATTCATATATTAATACACATCTTTTACCGGTATAATCATAATGAATAATTAGACAATTTACCAAGAGCTTTCTCGTTTTGGACTTTAGCAGTTTCGATGCCAACCATCTCAATTAGCTTATCCGCTGCCTCATTTTTCTGCTGCAGCTCCACTTCTTGTACAGCTAATTTCTCTTTCAACGCATCTACTTGACATGCTGTGCTACGCAATTTTTCCAGACCATTTTCTAGTCTGCAACATCAAAATTTACTCGTTTTTATCAATCGTCAATATTGATTACCAAATATTTTTATATACCTACTACTTATTGATTGCTTTTTTTATTATAAGGTCCAGGTGAATCCTGGATAAGGTGACAGGGATGAATATCTTTATCTCTGCATAGTATTATAATGCAAACCTATAAGCTAAATATAAGCTTTCAGCAATAGTTACAGTAATTCAAGTGGAAGGTTTTTAAATATAATACATGCACATTATAGTCCAGAAGAGGTCGAATTTAACGATTGAACGAAAAATTTATTGATTTGAAGATTTTTAATTCGACCGTGACCGTGCGAAGATAGAGCTGGATAGTAGCTAATATTCGAGTGTACAATGACACAAAAAATATACACTAAATAGATATACATTAAATTATGTAAGAGACAGCAAAACAATAATTTTGTAACTAGTAATTTCCAATTTACCTAGTAATTTTAGCGCGTAGCTCTTCAGTTTTATGGTTGATTAGCTTAGAATATAAACTAATTTGTTCAAGATAACTTTTTGGTGTTGTATAATTATATCTTCTTTCATTAGATAAATATGCTCTTGATATTGTGTTAACTGAGGTATGGACGTATGCCATGAATCTTGCAATAGAATCTCTGAGAGCAATCTGAAAAAAAAACAATTGATGACACTTTCTTTGCAATAATAAATTTATCAAATTCTAAACTTTACTTACGGGCAATGCATGTAATTCTTCTAAGAATCGCATAGATACTGACACCAAAGCCTCTTGAGGCCATTCATGAAACCAATTTATTGAGGTACAATTAATAAGAGCCGGAAATTTTCTGGATCTAACTCTCAAAGTGGAGCCGACTGGAGAAAAGCAGAGCACCACTTTCAATTGCTTACGAACCCTATCTATAAAGAATTTCCAACAAGTCTCTCTGGTATCCGGCAACCCAGCTCCCTTGACCTATAATAATGAATAAATCATTCAGTGGTTAATAGTCATACGCAATTTGATAAGTTCTGGTAACTGATATATTGTCAAGTTGTAATATAACACATCCGAAGGGTCTTTGTGATTTTAAAATCAAAGAAAGTTCTTCATGTTGTATTATCCTACTTGAATTATTTGAACCTAGTTTTGATGTAGGAGACTAGTAGATTACTCAGTATATTATTGAATTGTCTACCAGTCGTCTACCTAGTAATAGCATCCTCTAGTTATTTTATAAAGAAGAGGTAACGTTTGTGAGTTTGAAGATCGGGGTAAAGTCCAATACTACCGAAACGATTTAAAAAGTATTTTCCATTTTTAAAAAAGAGGGAAAATATAACGCGGCCGAAGTTTTGATAGTCAGCTAGTATTATATGGCTGTTAAATATTAGTTACCTCATTTCTTACACCACCAATTATATTTTCAATCTCATCATCTGGAAATAAATCCCCAACTTCACCCGAGGCCAATAAATCATTGATTAGAACTAAAAACTGTTCGTTAGCGACCTGCGCATCTGTCATCAAAAACATTATACCAACGTTTTTCAGTCCAGTTTTGATATAAAGTCCATTAAGTTCATTCTGCAAATGCAATGCAATGCGATTATACAAGAATATCATAAAACCCCAATTAAATTAATTTACAAATATGTATAGCTTCTTTATTCGTTAATAAATTATTTAAACTAAGATAACTGAAACTTATCGTGTAATATTTATAATAAACAACTATACTACATCTACAACTCAAAGTAAACATTTGTTTACTCGCTATAATTACGCGCTATAATTTTTACAGCCATTCATGTCAATGAATGGCTGCAAAAATTATAGCGCGTCCTACCTTGAGGTCAGTAACTCCATAGCCTTTCTTAAGTTGTATTTGCAATACTTCCAAACTTGATATGAAAGCAGCCAGACGTGAAAGGGACTGTTTACCAGAACCTCCAACTCCTACCAACAAAGCACTACCTCTTGGACTCTCCAAAATACGACTTATCCTGAAATGCGTTTATTTTCTCTTTACTTATTTAGGATTTTAGGACCACAATAGCACCAAAAATGAAACATTAATGATGTTAATAATCACCTGCATATATGCATCATAGCATCCTCGAACAGTACCAAGTTCATAGCTGCAATGAGATCGTTATAACTCGCCATGGCCTCGGTCAGAAGCTGGTTTAGTTGCTCCCAACTGGCAATAGGCATATATTTCGGCTCGCCAATACCTCCCGCAAAATGGCAATAGATATTGGGTCGCTCAAATACTACACCCTCGTCTATTTCCTGAATTTAAACATAAATACAATAATTCTAACTCTAACTGTAAATAACTTTTACTATATAATTTATTTCAGCCACCAAGCGGTAAGATGTGTTTCGATTGAAGGTGGAATGAAGATAAAACTGTGAAATTACAGAATAAGACCATGACACTTCAGTCCTCCGACATGAACATCATAAATGGTATAACGAGCGCCACATGATGATAAGGACCTACTATTAGTACCATCAGTTTGTTCAACTACATTCATTCCAATTATACAAAATAAAAAGACTTACTAAACAAAAATGTACCAACCTCAAATGATTTTTTGCAAATGTCGACTTGCATTTTAAGAAAAGCATCGATATCTTTATCTTCTATAAGTTTGTCTCCATAAACACGATGCGTTTCATGAAGCCACAATCGTATTATGTCCGATGGGTTTATAATACATTCGTTAGTACTAAATAAGAAACCCTAAAATAAAAATATTGGTATAATAAAACTATATGTATAATAATACCTAATACAATTGAATGTAATAAGTTATCTATATGTTGAATTATTTTTTACCTGGAATACATTGGATAAATCTCTTAAATTGAAGATATAGTGGAATTTTATTGCGGTAGGTAAAAAGATTTGTAAAATTTTATTATGAAGAGTTATTGTAGCTGTTACTACATTTGCTGAAATACAAAATGACATATTTTAAGTAATAACGGACTATAATATAGAAATAAACAATACAAACTATCAAATTTTTGTCTTACCTGATAACTTTGCTATTAGGGGATTAATTCTCAATTCAGGATTTACTAAATGCTGAGATAAAATTGAATGATAAATATTGTTTAATGCCTCATTATTAGGGAAACTTATTGCGAATACACAGAAATGTCTTTGCAATCTTGGATTTATAGTGAAACTTCCAGATGTTGGATTCATACAAGAGACGTATTGTGTATTGTGAATATCCTTCAGACTCAATTTGTTGCGATCATACCAATGATTATAATCCAAATGTTGTCTAATGATAGTATGAGGTTGTACAGTTCCGTATGTGTCCACTTCAGGCATATTCATATCGTCTATGAAATATATCAATGTTTTGTTTCCAGGAGGACCATAATTCCTTCCAGCTTTTTTCTCTAGAGGTTTCTCTAGAACTTTTTGTAACATTTCCGAAGTGGTATAAAAATTGAATGGAACTGATTGAATCGCATAGTTTTCTGGAAGTCTAATACATTTATATTAAATGAGTTATCAATAATATCAATAGTATAAATAACAATACTAATTAATAATATATTATTGTAACCTACCCTTGTAATTTCTCATTCACCAAAACTGTTTTTCCGCAACCAGATGCGCCTACTAACATTACAGGATGCTTTTTCTTCATTAATAAATCTAAGAAAAATCTAATTCTAATTGTCTCTGCTGTTGGTACTAATACTGCCTGTAGAAAAATAAAAAAAATGGTTTGTTACAATATACGATATTATAATTTCTATTGCATAACAGATGACAAAAAAAATAAATAAATATCTAAATCAATATTTAATGCAATGCACGCTTACTTACTTGAAGTGGTATATCAGAATCTAATTCAAATTTAGGTATTTTCTCAGTCCATGGGGTAAACTGCTTAGTTTCGGAATCAATATAATAATCGAAAACAGTGCCACCGGGTGGAAATTTTACGGTTTTAAATTCGTTTACCCACCACTTTGTGAACTCTGTAATATTGATATACAAAGTTTATATACTTATATACTTAGAGCACTAGGATATCTGAAAAATATACTGTTATACCTACCAACTCTGTAGTCGATACTAGTATCCTGAAACATAGCAGATCCGAATGCCCAAACACAAGCAAAAACAAAGAAGATATCATGCCACTCTTTAGGACACTCCGCAGGAGTATTCTCATGTACAAATAAGCAATCCAGAAGATGGCAGAGCATTTGTATGTGTGCCATCTCTGCGATAGGTGTTATTTTCTTGAATCTGTTTCTTATTGTTTCTAAACATGGTGGTATGTATTTATCAAATAACATCACTAAGTTAGATTTCTCGGCAGGTATCTTCCTCGTCTCTACCCAGCTTGTGACATAACTGAAAATTATTGTAATGATTATATTGTACTGTTTAAAATACTAATATATCTACTAATACTACGATCTTTAATAGAATATACTAACGGATTCCATCCCAGATCTTGAGGATTTATATATAATATCCCAGCTCTAGATACAGTGGCTGGTGTAGCAGTTCGTAGATTGGAAATTTCAAACATTAATCGCATGGTTGGTGTTAAAGCTATCCTCTCGTTACTGGCTAATGTCAATATTTTGTTATCATCCATTACAGTGTTTAAAGATTCGATCCACATTGGATCTATGTCTCCGTCCAATAATATCCACTTTGGGTTTTCACCAACAAGATTTGCTTGATCTCTCATTATTACAGAAAATAATCCGTCTTTCCATTCTCTAGTTGCGGGATTTATAATACCGAATAACTCGTCATTTGTAACGGCTTTAGGATTTAAATCAGTATATATTGGTTTCTTTTTCAAATTTTGATAAGTCTTAAACAGCGTTTTCCATACTTGAGTTTTGCCTGTACCAGCATTACCCACAATAAATACAGAATGACGAACTTCTAACAATTCTTCTAACTGAACAACTTTAAGAATAAAATTATCTTCCGGTTGTAGCGTTAAATCCATAGCTGCTTGTTTAACAGTTCGCTCAAACTCTAAATCACGTTTTCTCGGGACTTCAAGAGCGGGAAATAAATCTCCAATTAGGCCCATAAAAACCGGCATATCATCAGTTACTATTTTTGGTATATTGAAGTCACGAAGTGTCCGCATTAACACTTCTTCTTCAGGTCTACCTGGATCGCCTCTCTAATTTTTAAATATAAAAGATACATTCACAATATATTGAAAATTATTATATTAATACAAAAATATATAAACTTACTTTTAAAGAACCGGCCACAACTAATACTGATTTGATAGCTCTCAGACCCCAATCGTAGTGATCTTGCTTTGACAACAATTCCTTACACAGTGTATACAACGTAATAAACTTTCGTGCCAAAATTTTAGCTTCTTGAAATCCTTCAGCGACTAACATAATTTCACAAATCAATTCAAAATCAGGCACAACCATAGCACAAGGCCTAAAGAGAGCTTTTAAATTTTCTGGCAATTCCGTTCTACCGGCGTATCCTGGATTCATAGTAATGAAGATTCCGACAGATGGTACTAAGGATATTATTTCCCCCATAAAATTGAATTTTTCTTTCTTATCTCTATAAAATATTAAATAATTAAAATACGCAATTGCTTAAACTGAATATAAGTAAAATTTAAAGACCCTATTTACCTAATTGCATCCTGCACTGATTTTACTTGAACTGCTACAACGGATAATACTTCAACAGATATCCTATTGAATTCGTCAAAACAACCCCATGCACCTGTTTGTGCTAATCCTTTATAAATGTTTCCGCAAGACTACAAAGATAATGAAATTAGGTAATAATGGGTGTAAACCAATGGTCTTAACATAAATGCAATAATACAAATAGTATATATTTATTACTTGAATATAATAGATGAAGTATACCTGGTAATCCATTTGTTCTGAACAATTGAAAACGTATACCATAATACCCAACGCTCTTCCCAAATCTTTAGTAGTCTCTGTTTTACCAGTACCGGCTGGTCCAGCTGGACCCCCACCCATAATCAAATGTAGAGACTACAATTGAAAATGTAAGATATTATTATGTTCGTTTAAGTATTAAATATTTTCTACTAAAATATGTATCACCTGAGTTAATGTTATGTAGCATCTATCAGTTAATGGCGTTATTACCAATCGTGGAGTATTTCCCAAATATTCGTAGCTATATAAGAATTGAGCATCGCAAATATTAGCGAAGCAATGGACCTCATTTTCATCCCATCTATAAACAAACCTCTATAACTTATTAAGAAATATACCTGTAGAATCTCAACCATAACAAAAGTAGTGAATTAAACTAGGTAACTAGATGATGATGATAGATTAATAGAATAGATTAATAGAATAAATTATAGAATAATGTGTCAATGTGAGTGAACATTCTGATAATCTACATATTACTAATAACAATAATGTTACTACTTATGAATTTGTAATATGAACCTGTAAGATACAAGTGCAGATGATAATTTACTACTTTGGTATTTCAAAACCTGTGTCTAAGCTGCGACTGCCATTGAAAGGCGGATCCCGCTTCTACCTTTCCTTGTATCATTTTGGATACAACATCTCTGGAATGCACGTCTATAGTGCAAATAGTCATAATTTTTTGTCGATCCTGTTTAGTCAATTCTCCGATTAACAAAGTGATCAGTGTACTTAGTTGGGCTAATTGTTTCTTGTAATAATCTTTGAGGGCATTATCATATCCCTCTTCTAATCTAGCGAAAGCCATATTAACTTCAGTTGTCCACCAAATTTGTGAACCACATAAAGAAACCTGTGCCATAAAATCAAATAGCCACTGTTCTCTGGGTTTTTCTTCATACGAAACAATAGCCTCCCCAAAATGCTGACGAATCGTTGATCGCATAATATCTTGTAATCTGTTTAACCACATTTCCACCTGAAAATATAAATACGTTAATGCTAATATATGTAGAATAATGTTAAAGTAACCAATACTTGTATATATTTATTACCGGTCCTGTACAATCGCAAGTACCATGAAATGCTACGTATTCACCATCTTTAGCTATCATACCCAGTGCTACCTTCTCTTTTGGGTTCTCGCTTTCAATAAACTTGAGTTTAGCGATAGAATCAAAAAGTTTTGTTAAGTGTCTGAAAATAATTTATTATTATTTTAAAATTATTTTTTAAATACAAATATTTTACATTATTAACAATTTTAAGTTAACGCTATAATTATACATATACCTGACGACTAATTCAGCTTGATTTCCATTTGACAAAATATCTAATAAATCAGCGGATGATACAAAATAAAATCTTGGAAATGCTAATCTCTTCGTTTCCAAATACTCGGCTAAAGCTTTTTCACAAAGTACCAAGTCTTTCTGTAAATTATCAAGTTTTTCTACCAATCCCGCTTTGTTTGTTCCTTTTACAACATTTGGTGTTTTGGCCATATCTGTTGATAATACCTAAAAGATTCTTTTTTATTTTAGTTATTACTAGAATATTTTTCTACAGTAGGTTGTATAATAATGGAAATCTTTCTATAACGAAATCCACATAAAAAAAATAATTAACGCTCTCATACGTACGATTTGTAAAAAGAATAAACTAAGTTCGAATTTTATAATTACGTAATAATTATTAAAATAATTAATAGAATAATTCCTTTTTTAAATTAATAATTCTCTATATTTGAGAGAATAATTAAATGGTAGGTCGACATTACAATGACTAAAGAGTATAAAAAATATGTAACTCACTTTAAACTCCGCATCAATTCTATCAAATCTTGCAGAATCCTCCGGTAACTGTTTTCTTATATCTTCAGAGCTCATAAAAATACTCTCCAAATGAGTCCAAGTTCTTTGCACTTCAAACCAAACTGTTATAACTTGATCCGCTATTGACAGCTTTTGTTGCCAAGTAGAAACTTCTTCCAAAAAGTGAGCAATGAATTTAGATGTTATCAAATTTTGTAATTGTACCTACACAAGGCGAAGATTAAGGTATAAATAAACAGATATGAAAATCATAGAAAATATGATAATGGAAGCGGATATGTATGCAATACAAAAAAAATTGAAGTACTATCAGAATTAATTCTGTGACAAGTTTAAACTATTATACATCTATTTTTAAAACTCTAACACACAAAATATATATATCACGATAGACATTAAAATTTATCTGAGAGAGGAAATCTTATAAATAATACTGAATGCCAAGTTGCTTACCTGATTTTCCTCTAAAGTTTCAATAAGTTCTTCACTAGCTCTCAGTAACGTGCATCCTGTTCTTGGGTGTACTTCTTGTTCAAATTCTAAACCTTTCCAAGTATTATCTAGGTCCTTAAGTGTTTTTTCCATTGACATCTCTTTCACAGCTTTGTCCACAATGTTTTTGACCTCCTCTTCGCATTCGTGTAAATTGAGAGCCAATAAATCTGCTAACGTAGTATTGGTGTCCATTACAATTCTCACCTGATAAGTTCAATTTGTATGAGATAACATGCTATATTAAAAATATCTGTTCTATTAAGTATTCTATTAGTTTTAAATAATAATTAATAAATACTTCTACGTTTATGTACAATAAATTTTAACTAACTAACTAGTGCTTAGAGTAATCAATACCTACAAAATGTGAATTATTCAAATATTAATTTTACTAAGTTAAAATAAATAAAATATAACGTTTAAATTAAATAAAATATAACGTTCATTGTCGTAATTTTACAACAAAAATAACTATCATTACATAAAATCTTGATAAATGTAATAAACATATATATAAATGATATTAAAATGAAGTGCATAGTACTTACTATACTATGACATGCAACTTTAGTTATTTTATTATTTAGATATAAACATTAAAACATATGCGTTAGTAGATTTATATTTTAAAATTTTAGTAATGAATATATACACTGTTATCTTCACGACACAGCTGTACTTACAGTGAGTTCAGGTGGCAATGCAGCTAAGCTCTGTGGATCATAAACATATTTACATTCACAAAACATCTCTCATTGCACTTTTTGAAATAACAAAAATACAGTCCAACCAAAAACATTCCTGTATTATTAACGATAAACTGTACAATTTTATTGTGATCTTACATTGAAGCAAACATGCTATTTTTACAAAACCACATGCAAAAGGCTTAATAATTACAGTTTCAAACCCGACAATCATCCACTTGAACATCAATGTGCGCATGACAATATTTACACTGAGAACTTATGATTAATTATTAAACTTTACATCCTTTATAAAGTATTTTCATATTTGTCACCTTAGTACTTTTCATCAACTGATCCCAATGTCTTTCCCTGATAGCTGGGTTTTGTAGCTCACCAACCGCTCTCAGTGATGTAAGCATATTTTTTACTGTAGCCTCCAAATTCATATAGGTGTCCCAGCTAAAAGAATTTTATATATCGTAACTTTTGTTTTTCTGATCATTTTTTTTTATGTGAAGTGCATTTACCTTCTCATTTCCTTATCCAGTAGTCTTATTTCTTTAGCGAATTTCTTACATTCTATATCCATGTTTTCTACATCAATTTTACGCCACGGAGTTGTTTTCCAGTCTTCGATACTTGTTCTGACAATATACACGTAATCCCATAGTTGCTAAAATAATAAACATTTTTATTTTAATAGGTCTGAATTTTAAATATAATTAAAAATAATATAACTATGAGTATTATAATCGTTCTCACCTTTAGCATTCGTAACTCCTTTCTGCACTGCTTCAGCAACTTGAATTCAGGTACATTGACTTCAAAAAGTGAACCCGATTCCTGTATCCCCTTCATTTCTTCTTCTAGGTAAAGCATTTCAAAATCTACTCTTGACATAACGTCATAAGGGTCATCACATTGATATTTAAAGAACTGAAATATATTATAAATAATATCTAAAATGATGATTATAGAACATAATTTAAATGACTACTGCCAATAATATTATGCGTACCTCATATCTTTTAAATACTTCTCTATAATAGTTCACATGTGCATCAAATATTGCAATTTTCTTCCTTATACCGCTAACTTCGGCAGCTTGAAGTGGAGCCACTTGCTGTTTGACTGTAAGAGCCAACTTTTTCGTCGCTTGCCATTGTTCAGGCAATTCCTATAATATTTTATTATATATTCTAGGTTTAAACATAACAACAATTAAAAGCAAATATTATATAAGCTTACATTACATACACGAATTAAAGTTATTGCGTTATTACCTGAAGTAAAACATTTACTTCTTCTGGAATATCCATATCATAAAACTTCAATAATTCAATTGTTTCAGATATAGGTTGAAACATATCGTCTGTAGTTAATGCTCGTTCTTTTACATTCATTAAATATCCCATTATGGCAATTAGTGCATCGTAATCTCCTTCAGGAACTGGTTGCATTAAACCTTAATATAATTCAATTATGATTAATACATTGTCTTCTTGTCAGTAGGTGATAGAGAATAAAAAAATGCCAAGCGTTTCACCGATAAGAGTGCGACTCTTAAATTAAGAAGTGGAGACTGAATATTAGACAGTATTTTAATTTCAGATACGAGTCTCTTTCTCTATGTTCTACTTCTATCGGTGATTGGACATCATGGCAATTTTGATTATTAAAGTTGCTGCTCTAAAGAGCGAGGATGTGCTGTAACCAAACTATTACCGATACGATACGACAAGAAGCATTTTCTATTTGTCATGCCTTAAGTTTGTTGGAATGGATTCCTTATTAGAAATAATGATATTTACCTTCATCAGCTTTACGGATGAAATGAGCCAAATCGCTTAAACTTGAAGTAACATTATCAACCAAATGTTCCTTATACATATTTCCCCATTTTCTAACAGTATTCAATAATGCTTGACGAAAGGGTCGTACATCAACCTAAAGTAACATTTAGTAAACATTTTATATACTTTATTGTATTCAACATATTCCTATTATTTATGTATGGTCGAATAATTTTACCTGAAACCAGCAATTGAATATTTTATATGAGTCCATATCTTCGATATCCATAAAAAGATTTTCGTAGTTATCAATTTGCTCTCTAAAGGCTTCCATTTTCGGTGGGCATGGTGTTGGAGGAGGGTTTTCTTTATCTTCGCCGCCAATTCTATCTACCTCTTCTGGCTGAAGTATTCTTCCATAAGTTAAAAATATGTCCATAACTGCATCTCTTTCTTCTAACCATAGGTAAGAATAGTTTTCAAAAGTTTTACAAAATTCATTTGCATCTTCTATAACCTGTAATGTAATTGTGTATGTTTATTTAATTTTATTAAATACATGTTATTTTATTGTAGGGTGTACTTTAATAGATTACCTTATCAATCCTTTCCATTATTTCTGATTTCATTTCAGTCATATCTTCACTGTTAACTATCTGTACTTCATACGTTTCCGTCTTTTTAATATTAATTCTTTGTGTTAATGTCGACATTTTCAATATATCCTCAATGAGTCCTTTTATCAAAGCTGTAAATCCTTTTTCATTTTTGGGATCTAAACTTGGAGCGAACACCATATCAGGTTCTAATAATTCTAACTGAGCTTGGAATAATGGAGCCAACTTATTATTTGGATTCATGTGCTCTGTTAAATAACCCATACTGAAATTATTTTAACAATTATGTATTATTTTTATTTCTTATAATATTACAAAAAAAGATATAAGTAACAAATACCTGCAAGCTATAGATTTGAACAATGATTCTTCCATTAGTTCATCAATAAAGGATACATAGTTCAACCATATATTGCTGTCTTGATTATCTTGCATGTTGAATAACTCCATATTTTCCTTGAGAAGCTCTCTTACTCTTTGATCAGCCGCGCGAATATCGTCATACCGTTTATTCTTTCTATCCTGACGATCATCTAAATTTAATAATGTATCTTTCTTACCCTCTTTTCTTTCAAATAAAGGTTGCAATGACCAATCTTTCATGACAGCTTTAATTTCTTTCAGATTATCCTGTATCTTTGACATACGCTCATACAAATTTCCCACTAATGTATGCAGTTCTTGTAAATAACTCCATAAATCTAAAAAGAATATCATTATTAAATCAATTTTGATGTATTACATTTATTAAATTTCTAAGAAAGAATATATTACATTGTACTTGATTAGTCCGCAAAAACCAACAAAATTACCTTGAGAATTCCAATTTAATTGATTCTGTCCCATTTCAATTCTCTGATCTATTGCTTTTATTTCATCTTCCACTAAATCAAACTCTACTTTTTGACTATTTTTTCTTATCTGATTGTACCAATCTATCGTTATACCGAGATTTATTCTATATTGTCTGTAAACTTCTTGTTTTTCAAACAACTGTAAACTTTCAGGCGGTAATAAATCCTTGAAATCTGAATTACTTTTTAAGTGATGCACTTCTTTTAAAACATCTAAAAGCTAAATTAAAAGTTATTTTAGTTAAGAGACATAAAGAAACTGAAACTGAAAAGTATTTAAATATATTCAACTTACCATAGGATTAAAATTTAATACCAAGTCTGACCCTTGACGTGCAATTATCTTATTATTTGCCTTTTCTTTAATTACTTTCGGAACCGTTGTTGTCCAATCTTTAAAATACTTTTTCTTGAATTCATTAATTTTTTCAATGAGTATGTCATGTCTTTTGAAAATTTTCATCGCTTCTTCCGTACCCTTTATCCTAAGCACAAAAATAATTATTCTGCAATAACATCCATTCTGATGTAATTAATTGGTTCTATTGTAGTACGAAAATTACAAAAGTTTACTATCTACAATAGATTACAAGAACTAGAAATACTGAATGTAATAAAACTAACTACAGTGAAATAGTGGAAAGAGAACCACAAAACTCTCACAATTATGGATAAGATACGAAAAGTATAGAAGAAATTAAGCCAGATAATCAGCTTTCGCAATTTGCCCCACCCAGTTTACTTACGGGTGCGGCAAATTGCGAAAGCTAGCTACAGGCTTGGAAATCCTCGCAGCTAGCATCGTCATGTAGAGTAGTCCTCCAGCTACTGGCGGAAGGAATGTGTCGACCTCCATAACACCGTATTTTTCTAACCGGTGCGTTTGCTCGTTGAAAAGGTCCTACAAAAATATAAACATTTGTATATGTATGTGATTTGTAACATTTGTTTGTATTCCTTATGTGTCGTATGTCTTATATGTCGTATACCGAAATAACTATTTTGTTTCCAGGCTGATGTAAATTTTACTATGATTTTATATTCATAAGAGTATAATTGAATAAAACTGAATACAAACTTACTTCACATGTATCTAGTTCCTCTTGTAGTAATACAATAATCTCCACATATTTTGCCGTAAATTCATTCTTTATAAGTGGTCGATCCAAAACGGAGCCTACAATATCTATTAGCTAAAATAAAATAAAAATTATGTAGCTATAGTAATAATTTATTATAAGTAACTATAATTAACTTCATTATCTATATTAATTATTTATACAAAACAAAGCATACCTTAAAAATAGCTTCCAACGTTGATGAATTATCAAACGACTCGACTAACACTGTGGACAGTTTCAAGTCCAAGTCGATGATGTTTTCTTGGAACGCTTCGAAATCTTCATTAAAAGTTTCATCATCAGGGTCCAGAACATCATAAGACTTCGACGCAAAACTGTGAAAATAAGTCTCGAACTCCGCTGATATTTCTCTAATCTGACCTCCTAATACCTTTCCTTTCATACCACCAATTTCAATTTTTTCCAACTTTTGAAACTCTAGCACAGTGCTAAAGAACCATTGAATCGTAGTAAGTCTTGTTAGAAACCTGTTCAATCTTTCAAATACTATGTTTGAATGAAAAGTCCAAGGCACTACTCGTCGTTCTACGAAATACGTATGTAAATTATCTTTGAAGTAGTCGAATGTAGAACAAAATTTTTTTATTATATTTATCGTTATCTGGATACGCTGTGTTGCCTCATCAATGTCACTGTGGAATAATGTGCTTGGATCCAGACATTTCTTTGCCTGTAACGAATATTTTTTTTTACTAAGGAAGAATCGTCTCTATTTTACACAAAATAGAAGCAGACCTAAACTTACCTGATAAACTAGCAGATTGCATATTTGCTTGAGTAGCACCATCAATTTTGATGAACTGCAATAGTATTTAGAATCTCGCCATATCATACAAATTACGTGAAAAAGTGGACGAAAAAAAGGCTGAATTTCTGTGAAATCAGTATCTTCTAGAAGTTGAAAATGTCTTTCTAAGGTTCTTAAATACATATCAATCTCTCGTGCTTCCGCCAATGCTGGAATTGAGTAACAATAATTAATCTACAATTCTTGAAGGTAAACCTCTGAAATTTCAATAAATTTAAGTATGTAAAAATTATATAAAGTACTAATATTCACCGGAAACAATGTTCTTGAATAATCTGCTGAAGCACGGGTAGTATGCAGATGTCGTCTTCTCCAATATGACTGCCATACATCGAACTCTTTCAGTACGTAGTTGATCGTATATATAGTTCAAATTACTCAATCTTGACTTCCAAAATGCGAGCTCTAAAGAATATGAGTATTATATTGTATCTATATATACATTTGCTGTTTTTTGCATATACATTGGATATTTTAATACAAATATGTTTAATACAGATTTTTTAGAGTCTTTTCTCTGAATTAATTTATGAGGAGACTACATTTTGCAGATAAATCCGCAAGCTACAGCTAGTTAATTGTAAATGTGTTTTATTATTATTATTAAAAATAGCTTCTAACCAACTGACGGCAATGGATTCTGTCCGTTTTCAAACGACTGCGCCGTGTCTTCCATCATCACATCGTTGATTTGCTGCGCCCACTTGATGACCACACCTTCGATCGCACTCTTCAGGTACAGATCTACTTCTTTACCTTTCAAAAGTTCTTTTTCGGCCTCGTGGACTAACTCAACTCCAACTGGCATAGGTAAGACTGTTTGTCCGTTTACTTTACCTTTTACCTAAATATATAAAACGCGTTATAAATACCCATAAATCAATTTAAAATAGTTAGCACGGTTAACCTCAGTAAAGATATCATATTCCTCTCCGTATGCTATTGATTTCGTGTGAACCTAATAATATTCAATTTACATTTTTATTTATAGGAAGATATTGTAACATTAACTTACCGGGGAAAGACCTTGTACAAAGTCGTTTGCATGCTCAGTCTTGCCTAATTATGTCGATTACAACTTGCTTTGTATATTAAAATATGGGACATACCCAATTTGGAAAGTGAGATGTAATGAAAGTGTGATGGATGAAGTGAGGCAATGAAATTACAGGGTACAACAAATTAGTCCTTAGAAATGGTAGCGCACAATATTTTTGTGACATCCATAATTTTGATAAAATTATGTAATGATTATACTATACAACAGTTATGCTATTACCGTGTTCTTTTTACTTAAATAAAATGGTCTTATTTTAAATCTAAGTAATATAAAGAAATGTGATAAAACGTAAAACACTGTTTACTTATAATCAAAGAAAATGTTTAATAATGTAAATATCGATGAAAAAAAACAACTTACTTCATACACAGTGCTTTTGAGGTTATGTATTTGTTTTAGAATATCTTGGGAGACTACCAGCGGCCATCCTTCGTGGTTCAGTGGGTTTGATAAAAGTGGCACGAAAACCTCGTCCACTAGTGCAGCCAGCTCATCTATAAGTCTTGGTGCTAAGTCACCTGAAGCCATCGCCAGGTATTACTTTCTGATTATAGCTATGACTGATTTATTATAAGAGTTAATTCATTCACACTTACGGTATTAATTAGCCAGTTCTTTTTAAAGTGATTGATTAATTCTCTACTCCAAAGAGTAGTATCAAAATACTAAGAATGATTACTGAATTTGTGAGCGTATTACGAATAGCGAAAAAGATTTATACAAAGGTCTCGCGTTATTTTTATTTGCAAAACTAAGTAAGTATTTATAATTTAATCCATGGTATCATTTTTGTCAACTCGAATGTAATTAGCATTATTTTGTTTTCTGGTTACATTCTCTAAATCATCCGTGATAGACTACTGAACCACCTCGACTTCCTGCAAACCTGGTAAATTATATTTACAAACAAGAATTATGAAAAAAATATACTTACCAAACACGATCATTTCAGAACAATTCTCCTTAGGTACGACATCGGCTTTCTTTTTAACAAAATAAACGGCTTTATTCTTCAAATAACATGGAAATGATATTACAGGGACCAATTGAAGAGCGTTTGTCAAAACCACTACCAAAAGTATTGGTAGAGGTTTGTCCACAAAGTCTCTTAATGTGCTCCTGTGTTCCTCTATACCTAGCACCCTCATCCATTTCTCAGGCTTTAGTTTCAATGATTTTACCGCATATGAACCTATGAAATCAAACCGCGGGTCATGATTGGAAGATGATGCTCCCGATTGATCCATTATGGATTAATTATTTTTTATTAATATTCGACATCTGCATACTCCTGTTTTGGCGTAGGTACTTTTTTGAATACATGAGACTTGCTGCTGTGTTGCCGGTTAAAGCCTTTTTGAGGCAGTTGGCAGTAGTAAAGGTAGAGCCTGGCAAATGGCAAGTCACGCAAGTCCCGATGGCAAGCCATTATGGAACGATGTCTCCTTTGTAACGAGCATCAGGTTGGCTACACGAAAATAGATTGTATAGTAGTGACAGCAAAATAAAATTCTAAATGTATATTTATTTCATTTCATATAAAGATGAAATCTTGATGACATTGCGATATAACATGCAACTTTACCTTCCGATGCTGATTCGATCCTCGTACAATATTTATATATTTTGCATAACACTTGTATTTTAAACATATCTGGTTCTGTTGAATATGTGTACATGTATAGTGTTTTGTATGTATTGTGTTCACTGAAATATTTAAGTAAGTTTGTCAGTTGCCTATCATATGATCTTCTTAGTTCGGCACTAAATGGCTGTATGTAATGTGAATGATTATTTATTTATAGGTAAAGATTTTAATATATAAATAACTATATTTACTACACCCATAATGGGATAAGACAGCGAGTGAATTCCACTAGTCCGATAGTTAGAGATATTATATAATATAATCTCAGTATTGTTGTAATAATACAAATTTACATAGGTTCAGTTCCATTCTCTTATATTATTATTGTAAAATTCAATATTTTACAATAATAATATAAGAGAATGGAACTTTCGTAGTTTTTGCGTGAAATTCTAAGAAATATCCAACCATCCATACATCCTCACTCACAAAACTTCCGCGTTTATATTATTTGTAAGAGGGAAGATTCCAAGATATTTTTAGTAAAATAAATATAATTAAATTAACTATGCCAACGGTACCTACTACCTTATAGACAGTAAGTAAGCGAGGTGCGTACCAGGCGACGGCCGCACCGCCCCGTCCCGCCTTATGGAAGATGACATTCGCGCGACGTCGCGAATAAGGTCACCTGTCTCCCACAAATAAATGTACCGTTTCATAAGAGGTAGCGGGTAAGATTTACTTATTGTTCCTATGTCCACCACTCCACAATTCTTGTCAGTGACTCAAAAGTTGACTGGAAAAATTCAATCTTTTGGGATAAGTACGCCATTGTACGCATTTATCTTTTAAGTGAACTGTGTCCCTTTATTTATAATTTTATTGGGCAATAAAGTATTACAAACATGCTAACTTACCTGGTGACAAACAGACTTTGTTACAACATTGGCCGCCTGGGTACCTCTAACTCTTTTCAGTTAAAGTTTCAAATTACTGTTTTCAGCTTGCTTTAAACCCTGTTTCGATTTATAGGACAAGATATAACAATGAAATTATAATAATAATAATAACCCAGGACAATCACGCAGCGCCATCTAGTCCCAAAGTATCCATAACAAAGGTCTTAAACCTTGTGTTATGGATACTAGACAGTTGATACAAATACTTAAATACATACATAATATACAAACAATTGAAACCACCCAGACCGATACAAACAATCGTACTCATAAATATAAAGAAAAATTAATACAAAATCGTTGTATCCTGTTATTTTAAATGTATTTAAAGTGTTTCAACCAAACAAATGTATCCACCATGCGACAAACCGAACCCAAGATCTTCGGAACTAAACAAGAACAAAAAAACTGTCAAATTATAGGGTACAGAGGCATGACACCTCAGTTCTCAGGAACGGTAACTCATATCACATACCGCAGGAGTCATATGATGAGATGCTGTGTATGTCTAAACACATACATATTTGAGGGTAGACAATTTGGCAATCGGCTATTTGCAGTTCCAGTGACATAAAAAAACCTCAAGAACGGGGATCCATTTCCTAAATGTGATGTAATTGCCTATAAAGTGCTTAGTGCGTTTTCCATCACAGGATAATTAAGAAGGATAAAAATACGTAATCACTGTTACCACAGATAAGAGAATAATTCATGTGATACAAATCCAGGAATTTTGAGATTTGATGAAAAATATTTATATAGAACTTATTAAGTAGCACAGTAACTTCAGCTTCGTATTACAGACTGTATATAGTTTTCTATTTAATTTATTTCCACTTCGTTAATATAAAATTATGATATTTATTGTTAGACGCTAACACAAATGATAGGTACTTACGGTAGGTTATGTAAGTTGGGGAGGTTCGTATCCAAGTTATGATTCAAATTTATTTATTGCCTTCTTCGGAGTTTTCATAATTGGAAGACAGTAATGAAAATAGCATTTTCTTTGGTACATCTAATTCTAATTTTAATAGTGCAATTGTATTTCAATATATCGATGAATAGTACTGTGTAAATAGTAACGGTTTGCTTTCCAAATTCATTAAAAATATGTAATTGGAAGGCAAACCAGGAAAAATTGGTGTACCGCCAGAGTAAGCCATTAACGCAGACCGGTGCAGCATTCCATCATCAATTGAAAACCGTCAGGTCGCCTACATACATATACAGCACCCCGGGCATCACGTCGTGACATTGTTACATCTTACGCGTTGCCACTGCGGAGAAATCAAGTGTGATTCCTTCGTTCTCTGTATATATATGTTCGTAATAACGTTATCTCAGCATCTCTATCTCATCTTAAAGGCCTCAATAACCTAGCGGTTTTTAACACTATCATACTAGCGAAGAGTTCGAATTCTCGTACGGGAGAATCATTTGCATTCATGAGTTTTTATTGGTCTGGGTGTTTCTTATGTATAATAGGTAAGAATTTACAAAAAAATAAACACATATTTAATGGATATTCTATCAGTTGTCTAGTACCCACAAGCTCTGCTTAGCTTGATACTAAATGGCGCTACATGACTTGTCCTGAGTTATTATTGTTGCCATTTTTGCTTCCAAGCCAAGATACTTTGGCGCAGACAATTCAGAACGCTAATGACTTTGTACAAAGCCTAACTTGTTCAAAGCTTATAATAGTATATGTTTTACCTTTCTTGATAGATACTTACTTCAAGAGATGAATTCTATTAGCTTATACTCGTATGCAATAATATCGAATTGATTTATGAATAGTTCCAGACTGCACTTCTAGAACTTCATATAAACTAAGCTTCGTTGGTTACTAATAAAATTATTTCCTTCTCATGTCTATGTGGTCCCCCAATATTATTTCTTTATCATGTATATATTAATATACCATAATATATACTTAGATTGTGGAATGAACTTCCTGTTGAGGTTTTCTCACGAGACGCCCCTGGTGTCTCAGGCGTCCGTAGGATACGTAACCATTTACCATCAGATGGGCCTTATGCTTGTTTGCCACCATCGTACTATAAATAAAATATTAAATCATTTACGCAATCAGAAATCTTGAATAGCCAGTGAAATCTCCGAAACTAGAATACTATTATAGTATACCAGAATTTTTTTTAGTTATAACTTCGTTCTCGTAAATATTCTTACAAGATTGGAATTCATAACATTTCTTTGAACACAACGATGATTGGTTGCAAAAAAGGGATAAAAAAAATTTTTCCATAAAAGTAGCTAAATATGGTTTAGCTGCTTTTAACAAAAAATATAATATTTATAACGGAATATATAATGGTTTCTAATAAACAAATAATCGGTATATTAATCGAAATAATTTATTTATTTTCCATTACACAAATATTATATGCACACATAACTATATATTTGAAAGTAACAGTTCTTGTTAAATAGTAACAAAATATAAGTTGTTATTTTAATATTACCATTCTTATTTAAAAGTGAGTATTATATACTCATTTCCAGTCACAATAAGAAGATAGTTTAAAATTCAATTTGCCATTAATGTGGATTTATCGTAATAACTTTGTAGCGCCACTCACACTTCCATGAATGGTACAAAATAACTTTTATATGCATCTGTATAACCAATTTTGAGCACCGCATATTTGCAATTAATTGTCTGCATAAATTCATTTTAAAAGTCCGTATATGCAAATACTCAATTAAAACAATTTTTGTGTGAAACTGTGTAAATTGTATTTTTCCGAACTATTATTGGTTGTTATATAAATTCAATTTTCGTTTAATTCTCAGAAAGGCGGTACCAATTCAAAACACAGTGTTAATTGCTCTCGTAACACAACTCTTTTTGATTTCTCGCCAATTGCGCGCGTTTGATCCACGCATGCGTCACGCAAGCCAATGAGAGTACGCGACGCGCTGCCCGTGTTCCAAAAGCTTTTAAACTCAAATTTATCTTTTAGATCTTTATGAGTCTGTGGTGATAATTATTTATTAACGAAATAAGGCTCGGCAACAAACTAGGTTAGAACTATAATATTTGTTCCTAGAGCATTCACGTTCATATCTGCCATTTAATTTCTATAAAACATGCACTAGCTATTAAACAACTAAGAATACTGAATAAAACCAAACATAATAATTTATAATACATTTATTGATAATGACAGCGACGGTTGACTCGAGTTTGCTACTTGGCAAAAATATTTCCACTAAAAGTGAACTATTTTTGTATTTTAAATATTAAAAATCTCTTTGTATGCTTATAATGAAGATGCAACCATCTACGCTACCAAGTAGCTGCCTATTATAGTCACTTACAAGTAAAAGAATTAAAATACATGTGATTTGTGATCTAATTACATTTACTTTACACTGTTCAACTGGCAACTTAAGTATCCTTCTCCTATTACTAAAACAACCCGTGGGTCATCTCAAAAACTAATTACATTAACATTGTAAAAGCTCATATTGTATCAATTGACTGCAATAAATACAAAACATCTACATAAAATAATAATAAACAAATAATTTCATTTACCTAAAAACTATGTATTTAAAACAAAAGCACAGCACATGGTCAGCTTAGTATCTAATAAATTAAATTAAGACCTACGAGGCGCTGCACACACAGTTGTCTGCGGACGTCACGATTTGGTTCACGGTCGGTAAGGCCGATTTCTGTATACAACTTGCGTGAACATAGACAGATGGACTGGTAGCGGAGATCTATTCGTCATCATTTGAAAGTGAACTTTAGAAACATTAACTTACCGTTTAAATTAGTGTGATAAAACAATATTTATTTGAAAACTTATATTACTATCACAATAATATTTTATACGTATGAAAAATATTGAAAACATTTGGAACGTCTACAAAAGGATTTAATATCGTAAAACATGGTATTTTAAATAAAAATTACAAAGAACGTATTTCCACCATTCTACAATTTTTTTTGCACAAATCGCAAACACAAGCCCACAGCGAGAATTCAACCTTATTAACAATCCATAATAACGTTCATTCCTAACAGAAATCTACAGGACCAGTGCCGAATCGTGGTCGTCATAGACAACTTAAGGTGATTATTAACCTAATGCTCCTAGCCTTATAACATACCTGCACGCGCCACTCGTAATCATATGACCATCTAATATTTCGTACCGATTTTATTCCCGTTGCCCATGTTCTACCAAAAAAAAAACTACTGGACATAAGCACATCGAGAGTTCCAAAGACATTCTACTATATTTGAAAATAGTATATTCAACATTTTTTTAGACTCTTTAACTTCGACTACACATTGAGCTGTCCTAGATAGGGCCAGATAGATTTAATCATAAACTGGTCTATACATTTATATTCCATTAAAAATCTTAAAATGCAAAATTAATCCCTCTCAACTATTTGTTAATTCAACTAATTGCAAAAGAGGTATATAACTACTGAAAAATCTGCTAGAACGATACATGTATAGAAAAAATGGAATGTATTAAGTACAACAGTCTAATAAGCATTCGATTATGATAGAAATGTAATAAACTATGTACGTGTGACAAATATGATGTCAGTCAACGTTTACAAACTATCATGAGCGGCGGCCGCACCACAAGCGATTCGGTACAACGACAGATTGAGCGAATATCTAATCTAAGTAAAAAGAAAGCAAAGGAACACATCTAGACATACAGCTAGATTGAACTGAAACTATTTCTCTAAAACTGGCCGAATCGATTGAAGTGTAGCCGCGACCTCAATAAATTGGCATTTAATTCTCGAGTGCATTAAGATAGCTGATTTAATATTTTTGATAACATTTTCTGTATTATTAAGTTAGATACTTACAATGTACATGTTAATATACATATGCTTATTGGAATGGAGGCAGGTGGCGGGTTATAATGAACGCTGACAGTGGAACTTACAAATACTAATAGATAACGAGGCGTTTACTCTATTTGTGTACTTGTTTAATGTACTTATGAACGATTACTTTACTAAAAGGATGGAATATACATTAGGTGATCTATAACCTATTACTCCGATATCGGAGCATTACTGTGGACATCCCATATAACTATAACACGCGTACTACGTCGCTATAAGGATTGATATTATTTATACCAAATTTAGTCAATATTTCAAATACCTACCACAATTTTCATATCAATTAAACATTGTTAACAATAGACGTCGATTTTGCTAATTCACAAACAGACTGTCGATTATTGTTCGTACGTGGATGGAGATAAATCGAGGACAATTCAATAGTCAAATGTATTTAACGTTCTTCTGATCTCACTACTTATACATTTTTACATAAAATATTAGCTACGGACACAACCTAATAGATTATGACGCAAACGACAAGCGGATCGCTTTCTTAAAATCCAACGTAGCGATTAAGTAGAAAATATTGGAAGTCGAAAAAAATTGCTTAGTGAAACTAAAGCGTTTCATACACCAGATATTTATGTACAAATGTACCGCATCCGCTTATTGATTGCGCCAAACGGAATGAATCTTACGGGCATCGGTTGATCCGTCAAATGGTATAGTGTACTAAGTACAAGTCTTATAAAGGACGAAGATGTAACTTTGGACGATTTCGTATATTTCTAATTGAGTTACATTGAAAGAAAAGCCAGCCAAAGCGGCGGAAATAAAATTATAACTACTAACCCGTGGCAAGAAAAGGTTATATCACATTAAATCTGGCTACTGTGTGTAAAACACAAAAGGTTTCTGAGCAATCGGAATTCGCTATTATGTTAGGTATAATTAGGGTTGAAAGTGATTATGATAAAATAGTGCAGCGTGTGACGAAACATTTTGAGCCACAAATTTTATAAACCACATGGGGAATATAAATCTGTTGGGATCTCATACTAGATAAGAAAGCAAGTCAATGAGTTAAAATATATAAATAATTTACGACAGCATAATCTATACCACAAACTATACAGTAAAAAATGTCTATACAAATAATCCATCGAATCTTATCATGATCGATCACAAAAATTTCATTGGTTCTAAATTATTAAATTAAATAATTAATAATACACACACGAAAATCACATATTTACATCAAAATTAAATGATATAAAAATTAATGATCACAAATTCCAAATATATTTATTTACACGTCTAATAATAATATAGTCAATATTCACGTAAAATTTAAATACTTAAGTATAAAATAATAATTAAATGTACGTCTAACATTAGCGAACGTATGGAAACACTCGATCGCCGTCGTCATGTTATTGCTCCTGACAATAAAAGCGAGACAATCGGATTTCCCTCAACAATACCCCCGGCCTTAAATAACGAGTACTTGGAATTATTTAACAAAGGCATAATCATATTGCTTTACCCATGTGGAAATTTTATAGACGAAATGAACACCTACAATACATATAAAGCACCATACGCGTAACACGACTGCAACAAAAAACATGTTAACTATACAAGTCGTACGGAAACATGTGGACGTTTATATAAATTCGGTCCGTACATAGCTGGCTTTATCCGTACAAACGGAACGATGCGATGAGTTGACAGTACTTGAACGGTGTATGCCGATCTATATATACCTACAGTAGATAAGTTGACGTACCGAGCGAACTAAAGGTAGAGTGTAGATATATTTATTTGTTCCTAGTTTTGGTACCTATAGCGTTTATGCTCTCGCCACGACTTCTCGATCTGTGTAGGTTTTGTAAGCCTTCACCTGGAAATATAAAAAACTATGTTGTAAATTTTATATATAATAAACCAACCCAACCATATCAAATAAACTTACTAATATAGTTCAATTATTACACCTACTCACAACTTAGATACTACAATAAATTCACATACATAACGCTAGTGATGAGGTGATACCATCACGCTACATCATATTTGTTTAAATAGTGTATAGTTACCGTTGGCGGCTCGCTTGAGCTCAGCATCGCGGTATGCCCGCGCGCTGCGGCCGCGACGGTCGGGCGCGAGCTTGTCAGCTCGCACGAAGATGCCGTGTCGGGCGCTGCACGTGAAGTATCGGGTTCCACCCACCGACCCGTCGTTTTTGCCTGCACACACAACAAACCAGATATGTAATATTAAACCCGCCTATTGTACAAATTAGTAAGTTTTAATAAATATTCTAAACTGAGTTATTCATTTCTAGTTGAGCCGATCAACTTCTACTGCATTACATTCCCCCGTTTGCTGTTGTTATAGAAGCTATAGCCTTGGTCGATAAAGGGCTATCTGGAACTAAAAGAATTTTCGTAATCAGTTTAGTAGATCCCTAAATTACCCCCTACAACCTCGCAAACTAACAAAATTTACCTTTTTATAATATTAGTATAGATCATATTTTATTGCAAATGCCAAAAGTATAGAAATTCTTTATTGGTCGCTCGAACCATTGATGGATTATTTTGCGAGTTAATGGATTGTATATTAGAAGGTTCGTGTCCGCCAATCGCGTATTTAATGACGACTACAATGTCTTCAACCCATCTAACATAATAGTCGCGCAGTACTTAATATACCATTTGTATGGAAAATAATTAATAAAAACGTGAATTCAGTCTGTAAGCACTGCGTCTTGATACGTACCCGTGGGGGCGTCAAGTGCGACGCCGACCCAAGTGCCGGTGGCAAAGTGCGTGGGTCCCAGGTAGGCGACCACGCCCGTGCTGCTCGAGAGCCGCAGCTGCACGCTCTCGCCCACACACAGCCACTCGGGCACCACGCCACCGCCGCCGTTATTCCCGCGCCCGCCTTCCGACCCACACTCTGCAGTCACATAATTATAACATTATGGGGGAAGGAAATACGAAAGCGAAAGGACTATTTTCATGAATAGAAAATCCAAGGCCGTAGCCCTTTATCATTAATAAAAAAAATCATAACACTTAAGATTTCAGCCCCTTTCATCAAAAACCAGAAAACGATAGCTCTACATAGTGTTATTCGTGGTAGTTAGCAGTACTATATTTTTTTATTATTTTCGTTTGAATTTTAATCAAGAATTTGACAGATGTGATCAAAATTTGTCAAAATTCGTTACATCGTTCATGAGTGTAGTTTTCTCTTGAATATGATTTGGAAAAAATATATTTTTGTGAGGTAAAACTTGTATATTTTCTATGCATATTAACACAAATAAGAATAATAATACTTCCATATTTACGTAAAGATTAACGACAAGTAATGGTTAAAGGCTTTGTGATAAAAATGAATGTAAGTATAAAATTTTGGGACTTCACAGATGGACTGGGAGAAAAATACTAGTTACCATCTCCGATCCGCTCGCTGGAAGATGCGGGCGTATCCCGCAGCTGGCGAGAGGCTGATTGATCGTGCAACTGAGCTTCGGTGGCTGAGCGAGGACGCGCTGAAGGAAACGATGATCGTGCCGCAGCTCGTGCACTACTGCCGCCCGCACGCCGACGAACCACCTAATCACACATTAGCTGCCTTTACACGTATGCTCTTTCACGCGCGAATCGGCTTTCACACGGGAACAAAACGCTTCTAGCGCCTTTTTATAACAATTAATTAATTATTACAAACGCGCGAAAGAGTGCAAAATGGCGGACTTCCTTCTCTGGACCAAAGACATAATTATATCATTATTAATAAATATCTTCAAATTGAAAAATAAAAAGTGGAATAAAAAATAAAACTTTAAAAGAAAAAATGGAAATCACGCGCGAAAGAGTGAATACAAGAAATAGTAAAATGGAAATCACTCACAATTTCGCGCGTCTAAGAATGTAGACATTTATTTACTTTTTATTTAATGCTAGTACGTAAAATATGTTGTCGATCTTGGTAGTTTTCTAGTATAATAAACAACTTCTAACTGTATATAAATTATAAGTCAAGGAGATGGGAAACAAGGATCACAGTCCAAGGTGCTGGTAGACTAAGACCCAGGTAGTAGAAAATAAACCAACTCACTTTTCCTGCGGGTAGCTGTGTCTTGACGACAGTATTGTCAGGTCCGGTGGAGGCAGAGTCGCTTTCACCCAACGAGGAAGTCTCGCGGCTACGTTCCGCGCTCGACTGTTCATGGCTCGAGTGTTCAGAGCTTACTGACTCGACTTCGGCCTCGGCTGGTATATAATATAATGTTATTTACTTTTTTAAGCTCGCACGCTATGACATGCTAGGAAAGTAAAAATTTTTTAAATTAAATGCATATTGAATTTGATTTCAAATGCTTTTAAAGCCGTCGAAAAGTGATAAACACTTATTGGCATGGCGAGCAGAATTATGCCATCAATTCTCAAATGCCAATATAATCATAGTAAATATTGTCTTTATTTTCTATTGTGGGTCCATTTATATATCTATATTACATATAATCAATATATAGAACACTATATACACTACATAGTTTAAATCAAATGTACCTTATACTAGGGCCTACTAGGTATCTTATATAATTCTATTTTGTACCAATTTGTACAAAAATATACTTAAGGTCATATATTTATTGCCAACCCTTGACCAACGAAAAGCGGCATTATACAACCAAGGTCATATAAAACTGCTTACCAAAAGAAGTGTCGTGCACGGTATCCCCATTAAGTTGCACAGTCTCGACATTCTTATTCTGACTAGACATGACTGTGTGGCTCTCAACCGGAATTGCCCCAAGCGGGTCCAACATCTGCTCCTTATGTTCACTGGCTTCCACGGCCTCTTCACAGTCCCTTAAAAACGGATTAATCCTGTTCCTTGAGCCGGGTGTGAGTACTGGAGTTTTCGCCTTCTCGTATGTCGTATCTTCCAACTCGTTTTTAGATTCGACTATCTCGTTCTTCAGTTCAGATATGTCGTTCCGGAGTTCGGTGATCTCGTTCCTTAATCCTGCCATGGAGTTTTTTGTTCTGCTCAGCTGCGTGTAGTCGACGGCTTTATCGAAGTCTGGAGTGTCATCGACTGACATGCTTCGGATTGAGAGCGTATCGTCGTTGGTGAGGTTTGTAGACGACACTGCTTGGGACCCTATAAAAATGAATCATTGGTTATTGAAAATATGAGCTCATGAAACATAATTCTCCTAATAATAAATTTTGTATAGACGCGTATATTCTTTACAAATGCTTGTAAGTATTAGAAAAAAATGTCCATTACCATATACAAAATGTATATAAACGACATTCTATAGACAAATTCGTCGGAAAGTAATATTCTTTAAAAATTTATAACGACTGTATCAGTCTTATATCTCGAAAGAGGCATTACAATTAATGTCATATAAAAATATAAGTAATTAATTAATTATATTCTGATATTGCAAAAAAATATATTTGTCTCACCATAACCACTGGATGATATAGAGGGCGAGTTTTTATTGGGCACCCGTTCGCAGGCTAGCTCGTGTAACGAGTCCAACGTCTTTGAAGTTGGCAGAAAACCTCGAGACGTTGCTCGACTACGGGTACGCTGAAAATAATGGTACACCTATTATTAAGATCATTTTTTTAAACCATGCGATTTAATTGTTACTATTAGGAAACATATAAATAATAATTTAATATCTACTATTCATAGTTAATTTAATAATATTTTAGCCTAATATTTAATTGACCAATCAAAATCATTTCTTCTAAGGTGTATTCCATGGAATGAATAACCACAAATCATAAACATTTAAACATGATTTTATCTTCAGAATTTATGTAATTCTCAACTAAAGATAATATACTACACAAGAGATATGAATAAGTAATTACCGTTCCAAAAATAATAATATATAGTTATCAATTACTCATTTCACCCAACTTTGACTGGAGCTTGATTAAGCCAAAGATTTCTTACATCTCTACACGTCTCTATTATAACCTATTTATTATATTATACATACATGTGATCGCGGTGTAGTCAGTTCATCTGCAGGTGCAGATTCGGGCTCAGAATGGGAATCATCGTCGTTCCTCCGGCCTGGCTCTTCATGCAGCGTTGTCATACGAAGGCCGAGCTTACCACTCGCTGGGGAGGCTGTAATATAACATTTATGATATCAACATATAAGTTCCAATATCGAATATACATATAATATATATCGGACATAAAATTATACAATTCATATCTGTATAAGTACAAATTAATTATAAAGTGATGTTTTTCTAAATACATGGGATTAAGAGAAATTTTAAGTAGTAATTTAAAAATAAAAAGTAAATATGCAATTTTAAAACGATTAATATTTTCATAATAAACCATTGATTTATTATAATTATAGAGATGAAAATATAAAAAAATAGTTAAGAAAATTTTCATTTTGTAGAGACAAAAAAATAGCCGTGCGAAATATTTTCGAAACGCTCCGCGCACGCGGCAGTGTACACCTATCGAATCGATAATTAAGACATGAAACCCGCGCACTACAATAAAGGGAGATCAAAGACGCTCAATCACCCGTCAGGTTGCATACGACACTCGCTCTGATTGGAGTATTTGGTTTATACGCCGCTCATCTACAAAAAAAAGGGCGGGCGTAATCACCTAATACGCCAATCGGAATTCATTAGTAACGTGACTGCCCGTATGTTAGTGACCGAACTTTTAAGCGTTAACATTTTATAAGACAGCGAGCGAGGAATCTAGTCGTTTCTTTCTTACAATCGGCAGCTCAATATTGAGATTATTGTAACCTAACTGCATCTATATTGCTTAGTGCGCGGTGCTCTATAAATTGCCACGGGTATACGTTGATAAACTTATTTGATCACGATAAAATATTTACTTACTATAATCTTACGTCCTGGATCAAATATATATATCTTAAATTTATAAGCACTCATAGCACTACCCGTAAAAAAATAGCACACTACATGTACAACTCCAACCTGGTACCTACTTATGAATTACAAAATAAAACATAAAACAGCCGTATCAATCTTTATAAAAACAAATCACTTTAGAACTTTCAGTGACAATCTCATGCTTGATAATAGTATACAATAATGTCATGCCAATTCCATTTAAAGAGTCTCCAAGATGTTGCAAATAAAAACAAAATGTCAGCGTAACTAACAAATTAAACAATTTAACGACTGTGCCTATAGTCCGTTCATTGTAAATTGTAGTATTTAATGATATCAACTTATTTATATAATTGTTGTATGTGTTATACATATACACCAATTATATAAATAACTACATGCATATGTTATATAAAAACAGTAGGTACACACGAGACTGACATTTGTCTCTGTGACAAATTTAGTACTCTCATCAAACTATAAACTATAAGAATATCCCTTTCTTGCCCGAGTGAATAATCTTCTGCTAATAAATTGCATGAAAGTAGCAAGGTATAAGTAAGACGTGATAAGCTATTACATTTACGATTACTATATTATGAAACTATTACAAATTTCTATTTATAGTCTATGTCACAACGATGTTACGTATTTATTACAAAAGTTATTTGAGTTATAGATATGTGATAACATTTAGGTAATGCTCGCTTATAGTGAGCAAAAGAGCTCAAGAATATAGTGCATCATTATATATATATACCAGAAATAGGTAGGTAGTCTTTTTATAGATTAACAATAATTATGTAATAAATTAAATTCTTTAATAGTTCATCAACTCGAGACAACAGAGTCTCTAATACAACAATTCACATAGAACGGAACGTACAATAAAAAAAACAAACTCGAATGATAAAAAAATTGTCATAACAAGCCAAACTAGTGATTCTACTATTATCTGAACGTACACTTGTTTGGTGTCTGCAGTCGCAGTGAGTTGAGGTTCAGATTCAAGTTTAGGAACGTTGGCCGCGCTGCAATAAAAATATATTATACCTTTGTCAATATAAAATGTGTAACATCATTAAAAAAACAACTGGTATACTTGTACATCTAATACAGTTCTTACGACGATTTGCATAATCTTCATAAACAGAAGAAGACATATAATTCAGATCTTAAACATATAATATAGTTTTATTTATATTATATTAGAAAAAATATTAATTTATCCTCGTATTAGCTAACTAAACTCGAAAAAAAAAATTAAATTCATACTATTAAAATTTGTTTCGAATGAAAACGTTACTGCTATAAAATTTTAATCACAAAATATTACGTCTATACTGTACGAAATAAACTGTTGTTTGACTAAACAAGATCACAGTCAGCTTCAAACACTTCAAACGTCATATTTTGCAACAAAAACCCGATTTATAGTTATTATTACACTCGAAGGACATAATTTTACAGTCCAAAGTAAAACATCTTGATTATTTCTCATTCTCTTGCCCTGAAAACTTTAAAAATATAACAAACATACATACAATGTTAATACTAATACTCAATCATATCATATTACAAAATACACCCATATTATTTACCTACGTCACAATACAATTTACTTACATTAAATATCTATATTCCATGCTTTCGTTACGATACTATTTGATGTAATTTTATTTTCAAATATATTTTGCAATTTACTACATTTTTACATGCATCTGTACCTAGCACACACACATAGCCTACTATTCTGTTTGTTCGTCTATATCTACAGTTGATAACTACATACAGACAAGACTGTTTTGCAAGTTTTTATATCATAAATTTTAAATATTTACTATTACTTTTAACCTGCTACATTTTCGAATTATTCTAGGTTATTCATGTCTTGAATTATTTACTTCTTTATTATCTATGAAACACATTGGAAGCAATGTTACACTTGAATTCTAGTCCAAAAGCAACTGTTTGCCTCTTAAATCCACAGCAGATTGACGAAGAGGGAGGGAGAGGGAAGAATAATAAGGTCATGCTCGGATCATGCAAATGAAATAGACACGCAAACCAACAAATACTTAACACAACGACAGAAGCTAGCTTGATGCGAGGCTTGCAGTTAATTTTATCTTCTAATAGCCAATACATAGGGTCTAATTTTGTCTCTATTATTCAAAACAATTTAGAAGACATTTAACCGTGAATAGATTTATTACAATTTTCAAATAGTAGCCAATAGATAGTTGTGTGATTTAATATTTACAGCCAATCAATGAGTAACATACAAAAAATTTCAATACAATGATAACAACACATTCTATATATCACGGTATGTTGCATGAACATTCGTCTAATAATTTCGCCATACATTGCCATTCCGAGTCAAGACCATATTGTTGTCGCTGTTTACCTGATAGAAACGAGCCTGATGGTAGCGGGGGGTGAAGATACAGAAAATACAACGTTAGTTTACGCCGGGTTATTTTTTTTTTGGGAAATAAATTTATAATTCTTTGAGACGTTTTCTATAATGAATGGACGTATATTTTAGTGTTGAATATTGTGTTATAGAACATTCGATTAAATTAATTTAATTTAATTTAATATCGATGCCAAAAGGGTTCGCAAGCGTTACATAAAAGATATAATAAGAAAGATCATGCAGGAATTCCATTCAAATAAAAAAAAATCTCAAAGAATAATACGTAAATTCTTCAAAATATAATAATATTGTTATTTAGTATTAAAATATAAAAGAGTGATATTAATAGAAGAAAAATGGGTTAGACAGATAAGATATAGATATCGGTTCAGCTATAGCATTGCCACAAAGCTAGTTGAAACAAAACGTAACGGTGAAGAAATGGATAGTGGATGTTTTGTTATGAATATTTATAATGAAACCCTACTTGTTTATATATTTTATTATATACCTCGTATACTTGTGTAGACGCCCAGTAAATACGTGTAAGTTAGTACAAAATACTATAACTACGGCCTAATCATCGTGCAGTGATCATATCTCTGTACAAACTCTCTAATATGCCCGTAATTTTGTTACGTAAAAACTACTTAAGTGCACTAATATTTTTTCTAATTACCATCTTCAAATACTTTATACATAAAATTAAAATTTTATTTCTCAAAATTTATAATAATCACTATTTTATGCATGTGCTTTTTTGTATCGATAATTTAACATTGTACGCATGACGTGTATGATTCGTATGAATGAAAGAAATAAGAAAATGAATGTATTTGGACATAGGAGTGTGTTTACTCTCTTAATGCTGTAAAATAAGAAGTTTGTCATAATTATAATACATATATCCAATTATTAATACATCGAAACCAGTTCCTTAAGAAGAATGGTCAGGGCAATCCATAAACGCACGTGAAAAATCTTTCACTCACCTAATTTTATTTTATAGGAGTATTTTACAAACTGTAATTTATAAATACATAAACACATTATTTCCCAAACTTTCTGTCTGTATAAAAACTTTATTATTAGGACAAATACCAAATAGATTGTCATATAAGCAAAAATATACCTAATATTTTCTGAGTCTATACAAAATGTCGTATAAAATAACTAACAAATGTCATTACAGACCATTATTGTGCCCTAATAACTACCTATAAACCAGTATATGATACATATTAACCAGTAAAACTCACCGAGTCCAAACGGTTTGGTAGGAGTTGGTATATCCGGGTCGTTGTGCGCGGGCGCCGCGTAAGAATGTCGATGCACCGAGTGCGCAGTACGGCGTGGTGTTTCGTCTGCGAGATCCGCCACGCTACCCGAGCGGCCCCCAGCGAGACTCGCCAGAGACTCGTAAGATGAGTCCAGTCGCATAATCTGAAAATTACAGTTATTACTTTTAATTTTCTTATTGTTTGTTTGTTTTAATTAACTGTAAAATGCCACAGATGACCCTAATAGGTTGATTATTTTAATGTAACTATAGATTGTCAACAACGGACATGGGTGGTGGACAACAGACACCGCTGGTGTTTCAGGCGTTCGTAGGTTACGATAACCGTTAACCGTAGATGGACCGTGTGCTGGTTTGCCAACATCATAGTATAAAAAAAATGTTTTCATTTATAGTATAGTAGGTTATGCAGATAGACACTGTAAGTGGACTCAATAGTAAGAGATATGTGACATTCAATTCTCTCTACGTGCTTGTCAAGACATTTTATTTATATTGCACACGTTACAGAAAAGGGCTTTACTATTTTAGTTCTTAAAATTGAACCCAATTAATAAAAAAGAGGTCGTTAGCAGAGTGCTAACTTTCTGTCTGCCTACCCTAAATAAAACTTAATTTCATTGTAATAAGAAAAATAGTATATAATAACTTAAATAAAGAAGTATATGACCTCGTAATATAAGAACCTCGTCGCATGGAGGAATAAAAAAGAGAAGATAAAAAAAATCAAACTTAGAAAACACAGTACAAGATAACAATAATAATGGAACGTAACTAAAACAACAACTCCGAAACTAATTAATTGTAACAAAAATAAACCTAAAATTACTTAAGACTAATAACTTCATAATCATAACGTAAATTAACAACAATTTTGATTAACAGTTTAAAAAATAAAATAAATAAATAAAAAATAAATCCAAAATGTAATTTCTTCAACAGTTTACATATTGAGTGTTTTATATCAATACAGAGATAAATCACAATTAAAGTCATGGGATCACAAACCCATTATATTAAGAGTATAAAAAAACAAACTGAAGAATTGATAGTTACATTATATTTATAACATTTTACAAAATAAAATGAAAATTTTACTTTATAAGAATTCAAATTAATTTAAAATAAATTACTATTCTTTACCAAAAAGCTAGTCTGTACCGATATAAAACCCATACAAAATAAAAATTTTAGAAGTTGAATAGTGTTAAAGGTGTGTTCTTAGAACTGCCATGCGTAGACTCACGTTGGTTCCATTCTTGGCCGCGTTCTCGAGCGCCTGCGACAGCTGCGCGGCGTGCGTAGCGCAATACACATATTAGCAAGCGACAACATAGCTTGGCGACAACGACGTGACGTCACATTTGCTATTCAGTATTCACATTTGCAAGTTCTCGAGAGTATTATAACACCTATTTAACGCACTCCAATTTGTAAAGCGCGTCCGTATTTTAGGTACATTTAAGCTATTTTAAGTCGCCAATAGAAATAGTAAGCTTTTACTCGTGAATTACTCATGGTTGGAGATTTCGTATGATTCGCTTGAAAAATTTTTTCTACGTTGATCCCGATTTTTTTATTAGTACAAGGACAAATTCCATATGGATCCTGTTATTTGTGTTGCAAAGATATTTCGAAAGGTTTTACTAAAAACATGTAGCGCTACACATATCCAACTTCGAATATAGTTAATATTTCATCACATAGCTATACCTATTGAAATTACAAGCCAAATAGACATAGGTTCACTGGAAGACCTTTAGAAAAATTGCATGACAATGGGAGACAAATAAGAATTCTGCCCAACCCGTAACGTGGATTCCGCAGTTTAATACGACAACAAACTTTTCCATTGTCATTTTAAGACAACAAATTTTCCATTCCATTATTCTATTGCTTTGAGTTAGTAACTAATATGTATATCTAGTGTATTCCTTAATTTTCTAGGATGTCTTTCAGATAATTTGATAGCATTTAATGATTACATTAATTTAATGATGAATTTCCGTTTATAACATGTTTTAAGGTAAACAATTGATTAATTTAACTGGGCTGTTGATAACAGAATAACTCAGCGCTTACGGTTTCCATTGGCAACTGGCTCGCATCTTGTTTCAGTTAAGTGAATTTGAAGACTGCACAGGCGGTGGCTATTATTCGTGTTAACTATATTTGCAACAGTTTCTTTTCATTTTCGCTTACCCGTTTTGCTACTTCAGACATAAGAGACTGGAGGCGACGCGTATCAACGCGACGCTGAAATTTCAAAGAAAAATTGCGTCTATTTCTCTTTCTACAATAATAACTATCCCATATCAGAAGTGTTTAGGTTTTATACCCCAAAAAGCCTATTAATTCATAATTATGTTGATTATATTAATAATATAATATTTATTAATGATAAATATAAATTGAATCATCATTTCAATCCTTCAATGTTCCTTAATAAAAACAGTAAGCTGCAACAATATTGTACTTTTCATACAGCTATAAATAAGTTGACTGGCACATCTGACTGAAAGTGATATTCGTCCCATAGACATGAACAGTACCGTATTATAACTTATAACCCTCATACCATGCCATTCCCGTGAACTAAGATATTTAAAAGCCTATACTCAAATTTATATATAATAGAACTGTTTACGTTTTATCAAATATCAAAACTATATTGTTCGGAATAAAATATGAAATACCTTATTCTCTTATTCTCGCACAACACCGGATTTTTTCTACCTTAAAACCACTTCACTGGATACGTAAAATTATTTTAACATAGATAAGCGTATATGTTCATACTGAATAACAAATGATATAACGTTTTGTATTAGTATTCTAAAGCTTTAGTGGGTACCTGGACGGCACGTAATGTTTATGTACAATGTAGCGTATTCTCTAATTTAACAAGTGATCTAATAAGGTTAGTGGCGACATCGATTAGCTTGTTGCATTTATATCTTTATTTAACTATGCAGTTGTTATTACTACTGGTTAGTTTTGTGGATTAGAAGCATCCTAATAATAATATGTGTTCAATCAGTTATTTACCCTCCGCATATAATATAAACAGTCTTGGCATCGCAGTAATATTACGTAATATTATTTTGTATGTTTTATTTTTAAATACATATATTTGTAAAATTTGAGTCCATGTCACCGTATGATTTTTCACAAATTTAAACAATAAAAATTTAGAAGTATATGCCAAGATTGTTTAACAAATATACAGAGTATAAAAAACAGATTATAAATTGGTGCTTCTTAGCGCACACCGCGCAGACAAAATTATCTACGTATAAAGCTATTACACTAAGTTATTGTATACCATATACGACATTACTTTATATAAACATTTATGTAAATACTATACAAAAATGGTTATTATACAGTATGTAACAATATGTATTTGTAAGTATTTCTGCAGATATTAAATAGTAAAACATTGTCTGCGCCGTGTGCATAGACCCCTATGTAGCTGTACTACTTAAGTGAATTTATACAACTATCATTTAGTACTTAATAGAAGATATAAACCTTTGTATAATTATTATTATTTTATTATCAGTAAATAAAGGAATATTATTTTTAACTGTATTAGTAAATTAGAAGTACTGATCTGTAAATTATGTTGTATCATACACACACAATGTTAAAAATGTACAAAAGATATATTAGTAGTAGATAGTTGAAGTTCATTAATTGTTATGAACCAAAGTTTATTCTCATTACACAAATTATTAAACAGAATTTGCACGTTATTTACCATGGAGCAAAATAAAACGAACAGTATTAGAAGAGAAACTATAAAGTAGACGTGGTATACATTTATGTCACAATTTACATTACCATATATATTTTAGGTATATAAGCTATTGTAAAATATTAATAAATAGTATTTACTATTTAAGTGCATTAATTGCTTCATAAAATTAACCTTATATATATGATAATGTAATAACCCCAAAAACAATACGATGACAGTGTTGCTATGTTAGTGTAACGATGGTGTACCTGTGAGAAGTTGGGTACGGAGGCAGTCTTCCGCATAGTGATGGGTTGCCCACGCGCCTGCTCCAACTCCTTAACGGCGACGCTCTGCCGCAGCCGGTCCAAAGTAAGGATACTCTCCACCGCGCTGACGCCTCGAGTGTACTTTTCTGTAAGACAAGTGTAAAATTATGTTAATAATGTAGCGCGATGGATATCACCTGACCACTGTAGCATTATATATGATGTGACGAAGTGTCGCTACTTAATTCAGTTGTTTTGCTGTAGTAGTAGGTAGTGGTATACAGATGGTGTGATTGTACTACATTAGTAAGTTTATTTGATAGTATGCCACATGGCTTCTCAGTAACGCGTACACTCAACAATATACTTTAGTTACAGTTTAATTCTATTTACAATTCGATACTATTTGTATAATACTATTTGTATTTTATAACAAATTAGGACTTCTAATCTTTATTTCGAAAGGGAATGTTCAAATATAGAAAACTTGACATTTGTTTTATACTAATTAACTATTATATTACTTTAAAATTAACTATTATTATTACTAATTTACAATTGACTGATTAGTTAATAATTATAAAACATACCAATATATGTCTCCCCGTCAGCAGCACTAGCCTCCTCCCCGGTGGCGGCGATTTGCGCCAGACTCTCCCTCTCTTCCAATTCCTCCGAAGCCTTGGGAATGTTCGATACCACTTCGTACGTCACACCAGTTTGTGTCAATTGGTCAGTCCTATTATTACAGACAACATTATTAGAATTAATATTCTTTCTTCCTTAAACTAAGATAAACCTATGTGTAATGGATTTTGCTTGAACACAAATTTCCTTACCATTAATTTGTTCGAGTCTCATGGATAATAAACAGTCACTGGATTGCAGGGAATACTTAACATTTTATAAAATATGTGTATAGCTATACTAATATTATAAAGAGGAAAAATTTGTGAGTTTGGATATTTGGAATAATCTAGTACGATCTCATTTTGAAAATTCCTATTGATATTGATAGCCCTAACGGCATAGACGATAAAAAACATACACTACTACATATAACAGCGGAGTTATATTGAAAAAATATTGCAAAAACGAGGAAAATGAAAATGTAGGTGAGCTAGTATTAAACAAAAAGGGATAATTATTTATTCTTAAACAAAAACAAAATATAGTTATAAAAAGTTACTAATATCATACATACCTTACAATTTTCTTCCGTATCCTGTCAGTGAAGCTCTGTCGTTTGTAAATGTTTAATCCTAATCGTTTCCTAAGTATGAGATCCATGGGGGCGGGGTGTGAAAGCCTCACCGTTACCTTCAATATCAGGTACACGCGTTCGTTGGCTGGAAAAAATATAAAATTATACAAATTTCACAAAAAATATAAGACAACACAAACAAAAAGAAAGAAAACACAAAGATTGCACTTATTTTAATGCGCTGTAAAGTTGCCTTAAATTTTTTTAATAATAAATCTCCCTTGTAATTTACTATAATAATAGTATAATATAATAATATAGAAAAGAATATGTAAAAGTATACTTCTATACTGTACTTTTATATCTTCCTTTCTATATTTTCTTTAATTATGAGGCTGTGAAGACTTTATCTATCATCATCTATAGTAGCCATCCTTATTAGTCAATTCTTTCTGAAATTACAGAGTACGAAAAAACTTAGTTATGAATGGATGACAATCACCAAGGATCTAGGATTATAAGTTCTGTAAAAGGCATGACGTTTCTCCCTTATCTAAGTAACACTATGCATGAGGTCATTCAATTTATTACCTAATTTAATTTCAAAAATAAAAAAAAAACGATCTTTATTACTGTAGAGAAGAACTAGTAAAATAATAATATTAATTTAGAAAACATTTGAGAAAATTGATATATTTATACCTTCTGTCATCCGGTTTAGGTACTGTGAGTCGTGTATGGATGAGTCCCATGATACGATAGCTGATACATCCTTCTCGTGATGGTGCAGTATTTGTAGCTCGTAGAACTTGTTCCCATGCTCTTTGGGTAAGATGGAATGCAATCCAGCCACTGTCACCTCTTCGCCAGATGGGTGTGTTGTTAGGTCATCAGCTGTGAAAAAAACGCATTTCTTATCGTTTGAAATCAAAATTATCAATTGGTCTATCAGATGTGTTATATTCATTGTCCTCCTTGGTGGCAGGCGACCATTCTACCATTGAACTAATTTTTAGGGATTCAAGAGAGATACACGCTTATATAATGGCCAGTATAACCGCGAGGTTGGCATGGCCATGGGTTTGTTCGAGGGTTGTCCTCCTTGGTGTTAGAGCGCAATTTGTCTCCATCTCTTACGGTTTATGGTTGTACGAGAATATTATACAATGGACTGCTGTGTATCTGTTTTGATAAGGTGCATCAAGTTAATGATCGACCTCAAGAACATTTGTTCTCAGCGAAATAATTAGTCGCTGCATACAATTTTCGTACCAACTAATATTCGATAAGTAATACGAGGAATTAAATATTATTATTCATGAACTTACCGTTTAGGTCTAGGAAGAGCACCGGTATATGCTGCTCCATACCGGCCGGCGGATTCCAGGCAGCCGGTGCGCCTGGGATGGGACTGCCTGGACTTGGTACTAGCACCTATAGAATAATCTTAATTATGTAATTGTGCAAATATAGTATACCTCTGACAGTTTAACTGTATGTTTATGTTTTACAGTATGTGAATAAGGTCACCAGAGTCAATATTGTAATTAGGTGAAAGAAACTTGTTTAAAGGATATAATTGTAGATTATAATTATTATAAACATGCCTAGATTTCCATTACAGTTTACATAAATATGGAATAATGTTTCTTACTAACACCGTTTTTATAACTAACTAGAACATCTCAAAGACTAAATTTACTTATATGGTAGGTATGCATTTGTTACATACCTGCCAGATAAGCGAATATTGTGTATTTGTTACATAATATTCGCTTTGTTCCTCGTTCTATCGAGTCCAACTCGCAATGGACCAGTCTTTTATTTATCATATCATAGTAGTTATAGCAATAATCCCAAGTTGTAAAAGTAAAGTATTAAATAATAAGAATAAGAAACATACGGCATTTCTCTCCTCAGTTAGGGAGACCCATTGCTCGACGAGGGACTGCTCCCTCTCCATATCACGTTCACTCTTCATTGACGGCGACATGTTCACTAGTTTCTGAAGAAATAAAAATATTTTTTATTTATTTCTCCTCACAAAGATGGATAGCAACAAATATAACTTAAGTAGAACAAGTGTTATTTAAAAATAGGTTAATAAAACATAATAACATTTAAACTTTCATAATTATAGAGAGTAACTAGAGATAACTAACAAGCTATTGGCTTACCATTAGGTTAGCTTGTTTGTCGTTCCAATTAGATAAAGATATATATCGTTGAACAAACCAACATAGAATGATTGCAATGACGGTGATGCTGATGATGAATACCTGTAACTGAGCATGTAAATGCTGCCGCCTGCGTGCAAGCGCATCGCTCCACCTTTCGCGCAAAACAGCTAAGTCTTCTTCTTGATATGAATCTAACGGTTTTTGCAGTCGCGACCTAATAACAAAAGAGATATTTTATAAATGTGCATAATATTTATAATACTTTTTTATTGTCTGTATACTATATATTCATCTACTTTGTCGATTTATAATGTGTAAAACATATCAAATAAAAGATAAGAAACAAAAATTATTATCACAAGCGCCAGCCGCAGCTGCTGGCCCTATGAATATAGTCCTATTGTATTCACCTGACAGTGACGGAGCCGACCTCGACGCTGACGATGTGCTGGCATATGATGGGCAGCGTGCCGGAGTTGTGTGCGGGCCGCACGCGCACCGCCAGCCGCCGCTGCTGTCCCTGGCGCAGCTGGTACACGCCGCCAGTTACCATGTCGTTGCGTTGTAACACCTGACACAAACGGATACCTACCGTAACCACACATCGGACAGTAACTATATACTAAGCCAGAGCCGTCTATAGGAATCGTGTAAAAATAGACAATATTAAATATATTCGAAGATTAGACATAAAATACATCTTTAGTCATTGAAAACTAATTATTATTTATTATACTTAATAAGGATTTTACCTCGACGGGTGCGTACTCGCCCTGGTCGTTGAGTTCGTGTATCTCGACCCAGAGCTGTATCTTGCGCGTGAGCTCGGCCCAGCGGTCGGCCAGCGAGCGAGCCTTCGCCAGCTGTTGCTGCTCCACCTCCCAGTTGCCGCGCGCGCGGCTGAACCCGGCCGATCGATGGCCCCACACTTCGATAGACAGCGCGCCCTCTGTAGACGGAAAATACCGTCAAAATTTTACCATAGCAGTATATACATAAATAGTAGGAGATTTGCAACTTATTTTATATAAATTGTATAATTTGTACTACACATACTTGAAATCAGAAACCAGGCACAATGTTCAATTAATTCGTCTGTGAGCGGCACTGTAATAATAATAGTGGCGTTGATAGATAGATGGCGTTGGCGACATTTTTCTTCCATTTTAAATAATAATTTCAAAAATTTTCCCTTCTGATCGATCCTTCGTCCAATTCAACGACGACCTGAGCCGAGGTCAGCCATGAGCGGGCCTTCAGCCTCTCCATAAGTCCTTACGTGGGTTTGGAGTGTCGTTTGCAGTCGCCGTCTATCATCCGGTGCAGCTGTATAAGCCAGCTACGGCCAACAGCATTAGAATAGACCGAAAAAAAAATCGCTTACGAATAAATTAAATCGACGCATACTAACCGGCACAATGTTCGATGAACTCCTCCGTGAGGGGCACCGTGAAGTCGTGTCGGTGGTCGAACCGGAAGGTGACCTGCGGCTGGTGTCGCGGCGACAGCGGCGGCACGGGCGCGGGCGGGGGCGTGTCGGCGGCCACGTGCGGCGGGACCACCACCGGCTCGCCGCCGCCCCACACCGAGTACTGGCAGAACACGAAGTGCGACAGCGACGGCGGCAGGCCCGTCGCCTGCTTGATCACCACGCGCACGCCCACCTGCACCATCACACCACGACGACACGACTTTAGACCTTATCGCAACTAGGTAAATGGTTTACTTTGCAATGGCAAGCAAGCTGACTAGATTAACGACATATAATTTTAGACGTTATCATAAAAATATTAAATATAAAAAATTAAACCTTCGGGACTAAAATCTTAAATAAAACAGTCAAAGACATCATCAAATAAATATGTCACACCCATATTTTACCTAATGTACTTAGAAGTCATAAAGGGAATGTTTCCTATCTAAACTGTTAATTCCGCTATTAAAAAATTAATAATGGGCTTATCGCTAATAGCAATATCTTACAAACAACACCGCTATACTAATGTCTCTTTGCATTTAGAATATAAGAGAAGCATGTAAGTGAGAACACGATTTCTAAACAAACCTGTTGTGAGGTTGGATCTGCAGGATCATCATCGTCTCTCATATCTCCCGAGCTGTCCGAAGCGGCTTCGCAAATTCTGTCTTGAGGAAATTGTCCACCCACACGACTAAGCTCCACCTGAAATATAAATACAACTTCTTTTTATTTAACTGACAGCAATATTATATATGAAATACATGACCCTATTATAAAAACACCACCACAGACATCACACCATTATGGACACCTGTGGTGAACCCTCATATATTGGTGGAAGGGGATTGTTAGTAATGTGGACTAATAACCCCCAATGTGCCATATCACGTTGACCTCCACATGGTTCCCCCTGGATACCAGCGTGATAAATTCATGGTGAATTTCCTACGATGGGCTAATTGACTTGACCTCATGCTCATCTTATCATCCTCCACTAGTGTCCCGCTAGCGTTGGCGGGTACACCATTCTATTATTATCCATAAGAGACCCCTCATATGTTACCAATGTGAAGGATAACATGTCGTGCCGTGTCCTTTCTTCTGGAACGTCCAGAAAAAAAGGACACGACACGACAATTTCCTTCCTTTTCCGACGATTTCCTTTATTATCTACATTTTTATTTATGGTCTTAATTGGGTATTTTCGTCCCTTATTTCTTTGAATGGAAGATACAGTGGTAAAATAATAATAATTGTGACTGACCTGCAATCGTCCAGCGACTTCTCCCTGTTGACTAATGATAGGCGTGTGATAATCCAGTGTGACATCATGGAAGAGTGCTTCCAGGAATACGTTGGCCACGCCGATCAAGTTGTGATTCTCCTGGGACTCATAGAAGGGATCCAGAGCTTTTTCGCTGGGTTCCTGAGAAAACATATTCAATTACTGTAGAACAACGTATAAAATATATACTATTTAAATTATTAACCGGGTCTTAACACGAATAATTTTATGGCAAATAAAGGTACCTCTCATTTAAGACCCGGTTAATAATTTAAATAATGTATATTAAAAGACCCGGTTAATAATTTAAATAATGTATATTAAACACGAAAGTTTAAAATTAAAATATATACATTAAATAGAAAATCTATTTTCGGATTCACCCGCCATTTTTTTTAGGTTTAGTGTCTGTTTATATTCTCGTTAGTTAGCTAGTTACCTCTGGGTCTTCGTCGTCGCCTGGCGTGCGTGTGCGGCGCCAGTCATCGTACATGTCGCGCATGTCAACCAGCTTGTTGTCGAGCTTCTCCATGGACCACACCTGGCCGCCGCGGCCTGGCCGTCGTACCATGATGGCCGGCTCCGATACGAATGCACCGCGCTGACAAACAGACATAGTTATATATAATCCTTAAATTAATTTATACTATAGCATACAAATAGGGAACAAATCCGCCTTTATATATAAAATCAAAACAACTTATAATATAATATTATAAAGATGAAAGTATTAATTTCATTTTTCTCACAGATAAACGCAAATATTGTTAACCGATTGACACCGCCATCATTGTAAGATAGAACTAGTGTATAATATACTTCTTTACAGCAATTCAATATTTATAATTATACAAACAACGCATAAAATGTACAGAAAATACAAGACCATCTAGCAATATAATAATTGTTTACAAATCATTTTAATTATGAGAAACTGTACTCCAAAACTTCATGTACGCACATTTTTATCCCCTATTTCACCCTTTTCCAAATTGTTTTTTGAAATTAAAGATTCGTCCGTCCTCATGACTCAATCAATTTTCATGCAAAATCTTTTTAACATTTGTTCAGTCGTTTAGACATATAAAAGGTAATAAACTGACAGACACACTTTTGCTTTTATAATATTATATTGATGATAGAAAATGTATGGTGAGTTGGTTTACCTTTCTATTGGGGCTTAGGTTCTGTGGCGGTATCTGAAGAGTGACACTGAAGCGCGTATTGCGTCGCATCTCCTCCGCCAGAAAGTTAGCCTCTTGCACGAGTGCGTTGGCGCGAAGGATATCAGCTTTGAGGCGGCCTAGCGACCTTTTGAAGGTATCGTCCCGTTCAGCTGCCCAGCGTTCAACACGAGCTGCCGTCGTTGGTGTACATGCTGACATTTTCCCTGCATACACATAAGTACAATATCAAACAATGTAGTCATTCGCATTTTTAAATTTCAATCGACTTACAGAGATTCCTACTTTCCTGTTTATAAACATTTCATAATTGTACATATTTAATGTAGGGACATAAACGACAATTGTAATTGAAACTATCTATTACTTTAGTTTTATCATGATAATGATAGTGTTATGATCGTGATCTATGAATGAAAAGAAACTCAATAAGATTTGATATTATTAGAACTCACCCAATTTCAAGGGATCGTAAGAGTACGGTGGATATGGTGTAGATGGTGACAGGATATTCCTGAGCTGTTGGAACTGCCTCTCGTACTCTTGCCGCTGTTTTTCTAATGCAACTGAAAATGGTAATGCGTAATATTTTTTTTATTGTAATATAATTTTTAAATAACAAATAACAAGCTTGCTGCTCATCTGATGGTAAGTGAATACCGCTGCCCATGAGCACCATGAGCACCCACAACACATAACAAGTGTATTGCCGGCCTTTAGCGTGTTGGAATATGCTATTTTTTTTTTAAGATTCCAATATCGTAACATAGTTTAATACCATTGTGCGTGGCAAATAGTTCCTGATAAAATGCACGGTAGAAAACCGCCATCCAACCAGATAATCAGAAAAATATTTTAGTTTCTGATATTAATTATTGAATTACCATAGATATTGCAGGTTCTAGTGAGTGAGTTATGGGGCTTTAAGAAGAAAATTCTCTTTACTTAAGTTTCAATATCATATCGGTTTAAATTTCTTACATATATTTAGATAAATGAGTAATTGTTTTAAAAAAATTACATCAAACTTGAGAAAATTACTACAGGACAGTATAAACAAATATATTTTATTATGCATTTTAATAAAATAGCAAATAACGATATATACCTTGTTTGTCCTCTTCGTGCTGTTTTTCTAAGCGTGATATGGCAGTTTGTATAGGATCATTACTCAACTCATTGAGCATTATCTCATCGCGTGCAAAGTTATAGTCGATCGGCTGCGCAGGCGTCTGAGGCTCCGATGCCGCCGCTGTAACAATTTACGGGTTTATTAAAAATATTTAACTACTACAAAATGTCTTGTTTCCAAATGTACATTATTATTTTTTACGGTATGCTAATTGTAACAGAATTAAACAAAATAATATTCATCTATTCAATAATATTGCTGTCTATCTATGCACATTTAATTCTTGAATGTTTCGATCTTATTCAAGATGTATTTCAATGAATTAATCAAAATCTTACCAGCAGCTGCCTTTGGACAATTCACCCTGAAGAAATGATGGTTTCCCCAAAGTATCCTGTCAGCGTGGCCGAGCCTGACTCTCGAGACGACTGGTGTTCCATTCACGAAGCACCTCGCTGCACCCAGTGGCTCCATGTAGAGACCGCCGCCTTCGACCAGTAGCAAGCCATGCTCCCGCTGAATCCCGAGTCCTGATAGCTGGATATCGGCTGAACTGTCTGCTCCAACCAAAGTCCGATCCTGAAGGTTGGTAATATATAAATTGTTAACATTGAAACAATCATTTACTATATGAAGAGGTAGTATATTAATTCTTTTTTTTATATTGTGGAATTTATTCAAAGGACCATTTCTCCGTCAGCGGGGTGCCGAGGGGTTGTGTGAGATTCTTACTCATTAAAAACAGTATATGAGTGTCATTGCGGTAGCCGCGAGATTGCGTTAGCATTCTCGCGACACAGGCGGCATAGGCCCACCCTGTTGAACTAATCATAGTTTATTCCTAGTAGTAGAATCAACAAATAAAGACAGAAATTTACTCATATTGACATACATTTTTGTATGTGTGTACTTGAAGTGGCCTAAATTAAGTCCTTGATTTCTAGAAGGTAAATTTTAATAGTCTATCTTCGAGAATGTCAAAATATATAGATAAGAGTTACATGCATGATAAATATAAACACGTTTCTGTCTCGTTCTTTCTCATGTATGCGAAAACGATGATTTGTTATCCTGAGAATCATTCAACTAGGGTGACAGTAGCGCAAATTGTTTACAGAGACCTAGTGTAGTCCTAGAGTATTGTACTACTAATTTAGAATACTAATTACCTTTAAATAATACACTAGTAGTTCATTGAGTGAAGGATCGGCGTTCAAGTTGACTAAGTAATATTTGTTTTTCTCCACTTTGATACCACTCGCTTGCACGCTTATTCCCATTTTCTCCAAGGCGTGCTGTCGTTCGCTTTGTATTCTCCCTAAAAATATATAATAAATACTTATGTACAATATGAAGCAAAACAATATTAGGTATGACATGTTAAGAGAATGATATTGGACATAACTATAGACTATAGATCATAGTAATATGACATTTAGATGTAAGAAGATGGTGGAATAAATTCATGGGTATATTTAATAGAAATAATAACATAAGCTTTTAAGATTAATTTCTGGAAAAAATAAAAAAAGGTATTTCAATTAGGTTGATAAGAATAATAGAAGAAGATGTACCGGTTTCAACTAGTTTCTCTTCCCATGTTCTGGACATTTCTTTCATTAAATGCTCGCTTTGTGCTAACTGTTCATGTACATCTTCTCCGACAGGTGAACCCTGAAAAATAATATAAACCAATTGACCAAAATGTTTAAAGCAGATCCAGAAGAAAGTGTCAAACCATTCTGTTAGATTTTGCAATTTCACACAAAAAAAACAAAAGTAAAATTAAATAACTACCATAAATATGTCAAAAAATATATGCACATAAAAATTGTTTCCAGCGCCTACGTTATAGCATCCATAAGGAAACGAAATTGTATTTGAACAAAATTTGATAGACTGATGATCTATCAACTTGTACTTACGGTGGCATGCTTAAGCATTTCCTTGAGCGCCTCGACTTCTTGACGCAGTTCCCGAATGATGCGCGCGTTGGGATCCTCGTTCACGACTGCGTGGTTGACGATACGTTTCGCTCGGTCTGCGTATCTAAGCGTCGACAAAGTTTCCTCATAGTTGTCTGCCGCTGGTGACACTGTGGCAACCTGGAATTCATCATATCTTTTTTTAATCGATCCCGGGTCCAATTTAAACAGAAATCAAAATAAGGGAGTCCTGAGCCTAGGTTTGAACCCCTAGCGGTGCCCTCAGATTAAAGTCGTATACAACAGGCGGAAGCAGGCCTTCAGCCGCTAAAACTGTAAATGCCAGTTGCGGCCAACAGCATCAGAGTAATAAAAAAAAAAATATAAGGAATTAGGAAATAGTAATATATATATACAGTTCCATATTCAGCAACATAATGAACACGCAAATTTAGATTAATATTAAATTTATAAATTTAAGAATAATTAAAATAATCATAATAATTCGAATTCCCTATAATATAATGTCAACAGAAAAAATATGTTCCAATAAACGACTTATTCTAACAATTCTCTGTGTTTGCGCCTGTATACCTATTTTCCTTTCCTAACGTCCTCTCCACATCTATCTCTTTCCTTGGCAAGGAATCTGAAAAGGACAGAGATGTTTCGCTCGAGCCCGATCGGCGAGACTCGGGCTGTCGCGCACGTAGTCATTCGGAGATCGTTGAACGGTGGCTATCATAGTTTTTTCATCCGCATTAAAATTAGTATTTTGGACAATATATATATATATATATATATATATATATATATATATATATATATATATATATATATATATATTATATAGCCATTTGGTTCTTTCTGCTGCACCCCGCAATTAGTAGTATAATTCAAATAAGCATAATAGGTAGGTACTTCACGCATACCGCGTTATAGCCATCATAAAATCACTTCGAGTTATTCCATTTCGCATCAGTTTGTTACGTATGCATTTATGAATAGTTCAATTATCGCGTATTAGTTGTAGGTAGTTATAAAACTACTACTTGTATTACAATAGAACAATCTCGAATTTTGTTACGCATTTGTTAATTTTAATAGTAGGTATATAGTAATTATAGCAAAATGTCGTTATCCGACTTAGAAATTAAATTAAACAATTTGATCTCAAGAAGGTCAGCTTATTTCGAGCGGGTTCAAAGTATTTATAATTCTGCAAAAAATTTAGTTGACGATGTTTCTATTGAATTGTTTTTATCGAAAGTTGAATCGTTGGATTCTATACGGAACGACTATTTAAGTACGTTGGAATCTATAAACGCTATAGAAACAAGGTTGAAACCTAATCATCAGCCCAGCCATCAAGCTTGGCTGGCATTTGAAGATTTGTATTGTTATATAAAAAGACAGATTACAAAGTTGAATCTGTCACACGATTCTAAACCTAATATATCAGCATCTGAGCCGATTAAGAGTTCTAGACCAAAATTACCAGCCCTCCAAATTCCTGAATTTTCAGGAGATGTGACAGTTTGGAATTTATTTCATTCTACTTTCTTGTCAGCAGTACATAATAACGACTCACTTACTGATTTGGAAAAATTGCATTATCTGTTAGGTAAACTCACGGGGCAGGCTAGGTCTGTATGCGCAGGCTTAACTCCGTGCGCATCCAATTATAGTATTATTTACGAGACATTGGTTAATAGATATGAAGATCTGCAGTTTCAAGCAACAACTTATTTGGATAATATTTTTAACTTAAAACCTATGTCTAGTACAACCGCTGAAAGTCTAGAATCATTCGTTGATAAGTTCGCATCATCTGTTGCGGCCTTAAAAAACCTAAAATTGGATAATTTAGCAGAATTTGTATTTTTATACCTCGCATTAAAACGTTTAGACCCAGATATAGTTCGTTTGTTCGATATGGAATACCGCGGTTCTGTGATACCCAGTTTCGATAGCTTAGTTACATTTTTACGTGAACAAATTAAAATATTGCACAGAACTCCTTTTGTAAAATTACATCAAAATAAGTCCGAACGTGTCGTTCCCAGAATAACTAAACAGACACACACGTATTCTAGTACAACACAGTGTACACGGGCGAATGTAAACAATAATAATATGGTCAAACAGTTTTGTTCTTTATGCAATTCGTCAGTGCCACATGATAATTTGTATAAATGTGCCGCTTTTTGTAATATGTCCCCATACGATCGATATTTATTTGTTAGAGGTCATAGTTACTGTCTAAATTGTTTGAGTAGTAAACATAAAATAGCAAATTGTAATTCTGGTATTAATTGTAAGGTGTGTAATAGAAAACATCATTCGATGTTGCATTTCGTTAGTAACACCGGCAGGCCGTATGCACAAAACGGCCGCGACCGGTCGCCCGCCGCACCCGCCGCCGCGCCACTCGCGCCGCTCGCCCCTGCCGCGCCGCCCGCGCCTCTCTCGCCGTACGCGCCGCCGCGTCTCACTGATGCACCGCGCGCATCACATTATAACTCACAGATAGCGAATACTAGTAACGCGACGGCCGCGGACATTGCGTTATGCAGTACACAACTAGTTAACAAAACCACTCACAATACTATTTTGTTGGCGACCGCACGAGTTATTGTTTACGATGTTTATGGTAGGGAATGTTTGGTTCGCTGTTTATTAGATAACGCTTCGCAAAGTAATTTTATTACTAATAGTACATGTGAAAAATTGGGTTTATGTAACCGACGCAAGACAAATTTATTAGTAAAAGGTATCGGCGGTACGAATAAGGCTGTCGACACATTAGTAAATATTAAAATACACTCCCGATTTAATTGGAATATTTCGTACGAGTTAGATGCATTGGTAGTGGATAGGATTACGGAACGTTTGCCTAATATGACTGTAGATAGGTGCAAGTTGTCTGATTTTGACGTGTTACCATTGGCTGATGACACGTATAGCTGTCCAGGTGACATCGACATGTTATTGGGCGCATCATTGTTTCATCATTTATTGCTTACAAATAAAATTGAAGGTCAGTTAGGTTCTCCCTATGCTTGGGAAACCACGTTGGGATATATTGTTGTAGGACCCGCGCCTGCTACTTTTTGTAACAACACTGTAACGACGTGTTGTGCTATAGTATCCAATTCTCTGGACAATTTAATTAAAAGATTTTGGGATTTAGAGGAGATATACGTACCTCCTATTAAAAGTCCAGAAGATAACGCGTGCGAAAAATATTATAGTAGTACTACAAAACGCGACCCGATCAGTGGTAGGTATATTGTGGCTTTACCATTTTGTAAGGATCCGTCCACACTGGGCGATTCTTATCAGTTGGCTAAAAAACGATTTTTATGTTTGGAACGAAAATTAATTGCTTCACCCGCATTTAAATTAGCTTATGACGATGTCATTCTCGATTATATAGATAAGGGGTACATCTCACCCGCACCTACGTCGGCGTGTGAAGATAAATCGCTTTCATACGTTATACCGCATCATGGAGTGGTTCGTGAGGATAAGACGACCACTAAATTAAGAATTGTTTTAGACGCTAGCGCGAAAACTACTAGTTCCATTTCATTAAATGATATTTTGTTTTGTGGCGAAAATTTACAGGGTAATCTTTTTGATATAATAATTAATTTTCGGTTATTCGCGGTCGCACTGTCCGCAGACGTGCGACAAATGTTTTTGTGCATAGAGGTTCGTGAAGAGGACCGTAAATTTCAACGACTATTGTATCGTTTTTCACCCACCGATCCCATTGTTACCTATCAATTTAATCGTGTTTGCTTTGGTGTTAAATCTAGTCCGTTTCACGCATTGCGTACAATTAAACAGCTCGCTGAGGATGTTGGAGACTCCTTCCCGCATGCTAGGGATGTTTTAGAATTAGGGTTATACATGGACGACGTAGTCCATTCAGTCGACTCAGAGGAAGAAGGGTAAAATTGTCCACTGAGATGATCGCATTTTTTAAAACAGCTGGTTTCGATTTAGTTAAGTGGACAAGTAATTCGCAAATAGTTCTTAACTCAATTCCTATTTCTCATAGACTCGCGGCGCTTAAGGAGTTTGATGAAACTGACACCCATAAAGTTTTAGGTTTATCTTGGTCGCCCCGCACAGATTTATTTCGCATTCAAATAAACCCGCCTAATGAGCAGTGCACTAAGCGCGCTATATTGTCATGCGTAGCTAGGTTATGGGATCTAATGGGTTTTTTGGGACCTGTGGTTTTATACGCAAAGTTACTTGTGAAACAATTATGGTTATTGAAGTGTGATTGGGATGACGCGCCGCCTGCATCGATAGTAAAACTATGGAGCCAGTACCGTAGTGAATTGCATTTATTAAATAAAATTAGTTTTCCGCGTCATGTTGATATAACGAGAGATAGCGTCGTTACTGTAGTAGGTTTTGCTGATGCCAGCGAAAAGGCATACGGAGCAGTAGTTTATTTGCATGTTAGTAATAATGGAATTAATAGCGTTCACTTGATGTGTTCAAAATCTAGGGTTTCGCCTACCAAAACGGTATCTTTGGCACGGCTAGAGCTGTGCGCCGCATTAGTACTCGCAAAACTCATTAGAATTGTGTGTGACACTTGTAGTAAGCGTCTCACTATTAGCAATGTTATCGCATTTTCTGACTCAACTGTGACACTTTGTTGGATTTATTCGTCGCCCCATAGATGGGATACTTTTGTTGGCAATCGCGTATCTCAGTTGCAGTCTTATTTAGCACCAGATAGTTTCCGTCATGTTTCGGGTATAGACAATCCTGCTGACTGTCTATCGCGCGGATTGACACCCGCACAAATTATCGATCATCCGTTGTGGTTCCATGGTCCACCCTGGTTATCGTCGAGCCCTAGCGAGTGGAAGATAGCGGAGTTCAATCCCACTAGTATATCGAATCCTCCCGAGGAAAAAACGCAAGCATTATTAGTTTCTGAAATCGAACCTAGTTTAATTTTGTTAAAATTAGCAGATAAGTTCTCGTCGTGGTGTAAATTGTTAAGATGTATTGTTTATATTTGTCGTTTTGTTAGACGGCTCCCGCATCGCAAATACATTACCGCATTTGATTTACGCTTCGCGGAGTATAAATTAATTAGGCAATTGCAGAAGTTTCACTTTTCGCATGAAATTAAAGCTATGCAATCTGGTAAACATTGTAGTATCGCATTTCGTAGACTGAAACCATTTTTAGAAAATGGTATTGTACTTGTTGGTGGACGACTTCAGAACTCTGATTTGAGTTATCAAAAACAACACCCTATAGTACTACCGCGTAACGGTCATGTAATGAATTTATTAATCGATTACTTTCACAAAATTCACTGCCACGCTGGCCCTGATTTGTTGATGTCAATTCTTAGAGAAAATTATTGGATATTTTCGGCCCGTAACATTATTCGTAGTCGAATACATAAGTGTAACCGTTGCTTTAGATTGCGCCCTAAACAAGTTTTTCCCGAAATGTCAAATCATCCCGCTTGTCGTGTAACGCCATCCGTTAAGGCATTTATTCATACCGGTACAGATTTTGCTGGTCCAATAAAGGTAACACCGCACCGTGGCCGTGGCATACGTGCGCGTAAAGCGTATATTTGTTTATTTGTGTGTCTAACCACTAGGGCTATTCACATTGAGTTGGCTTCTGACTTAAGCGCAGCTTGTTTTCTATTGGCGTTTAAGCGTTTCTTATCTCGTCGCGGACCAGTAACGCATTTGTATTCGGACAACGGGACGAACTTTATAGGAGCTAGAGGATATTTAGATGAATTGCATAAACTTTTAGTTTCAAAATATTTTAATTCAGAATTTTCGCACGTCTTAGCTGAAAATCGCATTGAATGGCATCTTAATCCCCCAGCGGCCCCACATTTCGGTGGGAACTGGGAATCTAATATCAAGAGTCTGAAGAGTCACCTATATAAAGTAGTAGGAGATCAGATTCTCACTTTTGAGGAGCTTAGCACTGTTCTCACGCAAGTGGAAGCAGTAATGAATAGTCGACCATTGTGTCGCACGTTAACATCGGATCCATCCGAACCGCTTGCTTTAACGCCGGCCCATTTCTTGACATCAACACCATTGAAATATTTGCCTGCACCAACTCTTAGTGGTAATGAAATTGATCTTAATCAACGTCATTCATTACTTACCAAATTAGTACAGTCATTTTGGTCTCGGTGGAGACGTTCATATTTGCATACATTGACAACGCGTCAGAAATGGAATACTCCGTCGAATCCCATAGCAGTGGGCAATGTTGTAATAATTATTATAGATAACGCACCTCCTCTTCATTGGCCTTTGGGTATCATTGAAGAAATTTTTCCCGCGAAAGATGACATTATTAGAATAGCTAGAGTCCGAACTTCATCTGGCTCGTATCTACGACCAGTAGTTCGTCTGTGCCCACTTCCTAATCAGTAAATAGTAAATATAGTTAAGCTCCGTTCTCTTGTTAAATATATTATTAGTTTGGTTTGCATTTGCTTTTTTTTTGAAGGGATCCTTCAAGTGGGGGGGGATGTTTGCGCCTGTATACCTATTTTCCTTTCCTAACGTCCTCTCCACATCTATCTCTTTCCTTGGCAAGGAATCTGAAAAGGACAGAGATGTTTCGCTCGAGCCCGATCGGCGAGACTCGGGCTGTCGCGCACGTAGTCATTCGGAGATCGTTGAACGGTGGCTATCATAGTTTTTTCATCCGCATTAAAATTAGTATTTTGGACAATATATAAACTGATTTTGTATATTTTTGCATATAGACAATATTTGTGTGTTGTGAAGTGTCATAGTGTGCTGGTGCAGCATCGTACAAGAACGAAAGGACGGCCGGCCTCCGGGAAGACATCGAGTAATCCAGGTACCTTGCCTCCTTTCATCCTAAAAATCAAATATACAGTCCACTTTCCACTTTCCACTTTCCATTTTTCATTTGCGCATTTTATACACCACTCTGGATGAAAGTCCCATATTAACAAAACAAATGTAACGCGACATATTCGCTTTATTCTGTACAAATTTTATATATGTTTTTAACAAAACCGATAAATCCATCTTTAAAATTAAATTAGTAACTGAAATATACTAACCATAACAGTCTTACTATTCCCACCGAGGTTATCTTTCAATAGCCATGTGAGTACGGAGTCTCGGTACGGCACGAATTTATCTTTGTTTGTCTTACCGGATGACTGGTCCGCCAGTTTCGATATAACCAGGCCGAGAGTAGTTAAAGATCTGAAATGGTTTAAAATTAAATATAATATGTATTCCATTATTTAAGACCTCATATGTTTCCATATAATATACTAATATACCATTATAAAAATAAATAACAAAGTATCTTACTTATTAATGTTGGACCCTTCCTTCAGCCTATCTCCAACTGCTCCTGTTTTGACTGCACGCTCTGATCCAGCCAAGTCGACGAGAGAAAGTCGCGCGACCTTCTCACCAGTGACTCCTGTAGCTGCGTCGCAAAGCGTCTGCGTTAACACTACGCTGAAAACAGCGTGTGACCGGGACGATTCACTGTTCATGTTTGTTGCCGCAACCGTTCGGGATTTGTTGCCTTCTGTCATTAGGTTGTCGATGTCCTGAAAAGAATAAAAAATAATACCTTATTTTCGATGAAAACTTAACTACATACACTATGGGATGTCTTTATTGAATCCACAGCCCACGTCTTTACTAAATGATTTATAATTGCAGAAAGTGTCCATTTCAACTGTATTGTTTTTCTGTACATTACACGATAGCTTAACAGTTATATTATATTTACTTTAAAATTAATTTAACGCTTCTTTTTTGGATGCATGTTAACGTACCAATGTTAGACCAACCAAACGAAATATACTATATGCATAGGAGCTAAATAATATCCTTAAAAGCTGACTAATGTCGTTCAATATGTTTACTTTAATAGCCTGGTGTACCATACATTTTTCTGGACCCAATTATAAAACTTGAGTTGTGAATTTATTACAGAGAAACACAATTCTCTAATTAAGTTAAAAATTAATCTGACAGTTTTCATTTCAGTATTAAACAAATCTACGAATATATACTTTTATAAGCGACTCTTTAATGTATACTAGCTATCACATCCAACTTCGTCTGCACAAATATTCTACCTCCACCAATATTATTTTTTGCGATAATTATAGGCTATGGCCGTCCTCTCAATACAGTCAATCTTCATGTCAAATTATAGTAAGATCTGTTTATTGGTCGTTAACAGATAGACAAACCGACGCATTTTCGTATTTATAATATTAGTATGGCTAGTACATACATAGGTGTATATTATATACAAAGAAAACTCGAATTGTTCACAGAGCAAACCACAAAAACATTAATTATCATTCCAAAGCAGGTCTAACGCTCCTGGGAAACCTTTAAATAGGTAACTAGCCCGTCTGCAAAAACAAAGAAAATGAGAATTTACTGTCTCTAGAGTGCCGCACCGTTTGCGAACTTCTACTGGTTTAGTTAGTAAATCAGCAGAAGCAAATTACACACATTAAATATATAGTCCACATTAATGAATAAAAAAAGAAAATATTCTCAAGACCAAGTAATCCCAGATGGTTTAGTCGGTAACATTCCCAACTATCGCTGAAATGCCACACAAGGACATGCCTGCATCTGAGAATTTGGGGCGTAAAACGAAAAACAATAGAAATAGAAATAACTTTTATTCAAATAAATTTAATGTAACCTTTGAACAGTTAGTTTTTTTTTACTCTACCACTAATTTAGAAAGCACACTCATCACAAGAACGAGGAAAAAACTTGCATGTTACTCTTTTATATGCAGTTCCGCATTATAATTTTTAAGGTCTTATCATATAAAACCTTTTTGTTTAACGCTGAAGTGGCAAAACTGGCAAATAAAAACAAAGTAAAAAATATAATATACGACGAAATGCTATGGAAATAGCTCAAACAGATAAAATTAGTACAATATGAAAATGAGTAACTTGTTAGGTCATAAATCTATGTAACCGTGTTTGATTCATCTTTCTATTTTAGTGGTATAAAATAAAGTCAGTCGTAACAAATATACAATATGAACAGATTATCATCATGATAGACGACTTTATTATACAACGAGTATTGTTAGTAATCTAGAAGATAGAGCTAGATAGTTAATTCAAGTCTACTAAACAATACAAGAAAAAATTAGGTAGGCTGAAATTGGATCGTATAAAATAGATTTAGTACAATTTAACAAAAAGTTTAACTTCAAGTGTTAGACCAAGATTAAAGTAAAGAACTTCTATTCATTTTTATGTTAATTTAATAATGTCCTTACGGCAAAGGTATCTCAGTACTATTTCTTTTTGCTTTAATCTTTCTAGATTAGCATTAAATCTTTTTTTTTCTAAAAATACATGCACTACCCAATACAATGCTAGACTCCATCGAACGCATTGTGTATCATTAGATATGGAAGAATTGTTAAGTCAGTTGAAAACCAGTTAACACAGTTGTCAAATTTACTCTGAATTTTATGTCCAACTAGATGTGCCGTCAAAAACGTTCGCTTGTATTTGACTCGTTAATTGTGGTCAATATATTCGTAGGTATGTAAAAGATGCACAGCAATATGGAAATATGTCACCTAGAAGAAGCAAGAGAAGTTTCAAAACAATGAATATACAAGCTTTAGCGGTCGGTTTTCTCTACCTTACATTAATAAGAAACTTAGCTTACAAATGGTGTATAACAACTGGTTACAACTGATTTAATTATATAAATCTACTATCATAATAAACATGAGTAAATACATTACGTATATTTCACTCACATAAGCTGGAATTCGGCAAAATTGAGTATATAAACACAACATAATTGTTTTGTAATAACAAACAAAATACAATCATCTCATTTAAACAAACATGTCGTTATTGTACTTAATTACACACTGGAAATAGTAATAACATATGACAATGTTCAATGTTATTTGAAATTATACTTGCGTTACTACATTCAACAAAGTGGCATTGTCTAAACAAGTAGGTATACTTTGTTCCATATAAAAACTAAATTTAACGATTCACAACTAAATAAAATTAGTAAGTATCGAATAAATATGCGAATATTTATTCGAAAGTAAAATTAGTAAAAACCTTACTAGTTTTATTTTCTTTGACTCTAGCCATTGCAAAAACAATGATTAGTATGTACTAAATGTAAATTGAGGAAGTATACTAAAAAATGCTCTCAAATATTTTCCTAAGCAGATTCGGTTCCCAAGTAGAAAATGCGATGTATGTAATTAATTTCTTGCATCGACTATACTTTTATAGATATAATAGAGATTTAGTTAGTAGGAATCTCAAAATATTCACTCATCGTTTTGGAGAACGAATTATGTCGCGAATTTGGATGAAAATTAATAGAAAGTCACCTTAAAACCAAACGGAAGACAAAACAAAATATAGAACAACATGAAACAACGCAATAGAATTGTTCGACAAATAAAGAAGTTCAACAACGTCACAGCTGTGTCTAGTGACCTAAAAATGTGAACCGCATGCAATCGTCTTGATTGAAACGTCTAAATTCAAGTTCCGATTGAATGAATACAAAGATTCAATCCGCAAAAATATTTATTCGGTCTGTTTTTATTTCATTTGTTTTCGGGAAAGGAATGGTAAATAGCGTCAATATCTAAAATTGGATGAAATAAACAACATACGAACGAAGATATGTTGTTTCAATCACTACGACCGACCCTTCCTTAACCAGCTAAGGAAACATACTCGTATATTCCCGCCTACTAGTTTCGCTTCCTCTACATTTCATACAATTAATGAAAATAATATTCATTTAAATAAATATAATATAAACACTACTTAATAATATTCTTTTATTCTAGACATCTCATTCATTAAATTTGATATTCCAAACCTAGTATAGGTACCTATTGATTGTTTGATACTAATAACATGAAAAAATAAAGCAAAACATACAAAATATTCTAAAGTTCGTAATTTAAGATATTATTTCAGCATTATTTCAAATTCAGTATCTGTTATTGGCTTTACTAACTAAGTAATACTATATATTGTCTATAAATTGTATAAGCTGTTGATTACCTAAAATAAATAAATAAATAAATAAATAAGATAAAAGTGTTTTCTTAGGTTATAAATAGAGATAAAATTTTGTACGAATAGACCAAACAGAATACCTTCTCGTACCTTGTCACAAATAAAAAATGCGTTGAATGAAACTATCAAATATTTTATATAGCGTGACGTGCACACGTCAGTAATTAAAACCACTAGACAAACATTACTACAGAATCCCAGTAGATAATAATTTTCAACATTTATTACATTATCAAATATTTATTTTGCAGTGCAGTCGGGTATTAACTTAGGATTAACTGGCACTATATTTCACCCACAAAATATTGTACACATTAATAAAATCATTTTATCTGTACTACATACATATGTTGAAAATTATCAATACTGTTCTACATATTTACTTATTGCCGTACTCAACATATTACTACTGCAAAATAAATACATTTGCTGGAATATGAAATGAATTTTTTAAAGCTTACACAAAGCAGGTAGTCACGTAATGAATTTGTTTATTGCGCAACTGGATTCCGGAATGTCATACCTGTCTATTCAGTTACATTCTACATATATAAGTACCAGTTTTCCTGAAGAATGAAGGTCGTCATCACGACAGAAATAATGCTACAAACTTAATACACCAAAGAGGACAATAGCAGTAAATACTGATGTAATCTCAACATCTTTATTGCTAAACAAAAATGATTTATAACCTAAATTATTTTATCTACTGAACTGAGAAATCTTTTCTCACGTACTATTTACATGCACTTGAAAGAGAGTGATAAAACACTACGTTCGTAGATTTATAGAGTGAATATAGAATTATGAACCCGCCTATGCTAACGGTATACGCTGTCCGGGCATCAGTGGAAGAATATAGAACCAGAATAAATTCAGGGAAGTTGGTACATCATGACTAATTCAACACGAATTAAACATTGTATTATAGTTTTCAGGAGAGGGTACGTAGAGCCACTAATACCAATACTAACAATCTTTTTCCTTAAATAGGAGGTTACGTTTTATAAACTATAAATATGACTATTCAAAAGAGATTGTATTAAGTTTATTTAAATAAAGACTATTTCTATTTCTAAAATGTCGATAAATGCGAAGACTTTCTGACTGGTCATTTGCTTCTATTAATATTCAAAAGCAGCTTCGTCTAGCCGAGTTTTTGACTAAATACCATTGCATTAAAGGATTGGTCATAAGATTGATGGGTTGAGTCTGCGGTGAGCGTTGAAATCCTCGGGTTGGAATGATGTGATTACGTGGCAGGGGTGCATCATTACCATAACCAAATTTAAATTATATTCGTCCCTCATGAGCGATTCGGGCGGGTTTCGAAGACAAGGGTTAAATATAAACCTGTAGCCGTGCCGGCGGTTTTACCTGTGCGATATTTATTTTCTAGGTATTATTTTATTGTATAAGCTTCATTTTAATGACTACAATAGTTTTTGCGAGAAAGAAAAACAAACACCCTATCA